AACGTAACTTGTTTCACAGTTTAAAAGGGTATGAAGAGGTGACTGTGGGCGCTCCCTGGGAAAGCAACTCGAAATTTTAGGACCAAAAGAGTCTATAGGTTAACTCAGCCTAACTAGCATATCTAAAAGAGAATTCTTATCGAGTAAAATAGTGTCGCTGGACCGGGAGGCTCGGTGGGGCTTGGAGCCTGGGCGGTCGCTCGCCTGTTCGCAGTTCCTCACCTGTTCATGTTAACATGACAAGCGTCTTATAGATAATGTTTGATAAGCCCTCTGACACTAGTCATTGCTTTTCACTGGTTAATGTGAATTCCTCTGTTTAAAACTATGGCTCACCTCATTTCTTTATTCATAATTCTTATAACTACCATTGTTATGGAATATAATTGCCAATATTAAAAATGTATATCATATTATTTCAGTGCTTAGATGTGTGCTTGATGGCAGAAACTGTTGTGAATAGTGCTAAATATGCCGTAAACTGCCTATGAAAACAATTAGCTTTGGGAGCACAGGCACACATAGATATCAGGACAAGCCCCTGCTAGAAAAAACATTTTAGACCAGCATGGCTGGTCACCAGCAAAACCAGCTAAACCAACACCTGACCAGCACTAGACTATATAAACATTTCATGCTCATCTAGGCAGGTCTGTGCTGTTTTTATTTAGCACACCAAACCGCTTTATGGGCTCTTCACAAAGATATTAATAAAACAATGCTAACCAGTAGCCTTAGCTTTGGAAACAAGCTAACATTAGCCCGACTGCAACATCACAGTAATAAGAGATATGCGCTACATTACAGTGTTACTGTAACCATTACCATCTTAGCTTTGAGACATTTGATGATCAGCAGGTGGGAGCTATAAATGCAATAAAAACATGAGCATGAAAGAAAGAGACTGTAGAACGTCTGTTCACATTGAAATCATGAACCTTGCATGACACAACCATAAAGAAAAACATAAAGAGTAATTATAGCATCATTCATCAAATTCTCATTAATGAAAAATACAAGCAAATGTTTAGTTACTGTTGGTAACTGTCATTGACAATGTATTACAATTTAACTACTGTAATTTGAGAGCTCCTTGTTTCAGGTTAATAATGAACTGCTGCCCTCTAGTGTCGAAACACACAGTTAAAATAGGGCATCTGACTGACACCTCTTTTTTCAAAGCTCCTCCTCCTCTTCTACCAGTGGTGTAACTAGGATCTTATGGGCCCCCCATATGAAAATTACTTAAAATTAATAAAAGACAATGAAATTTTCATGTTTGTTCTGTTGATATGTCTTAAATTAGTTGATTATCTTAAGGTATGCCGCTCCACCCACTGGCATCTATCTGGCAATCACAACAGACTGTACTTTCTTCCCAGATCAGTGGCTTTACAGATAATTTTCTCAGATGCTTGAGACCTTTACACAGTACTATGCATATTATAATATTATTGTTTATTAACAGTGACTAAAAACTGTTAAGTTGTATGAATGCATCATGTGATAACAAACAGCCCACTTAACTATGATGAAGTACGACAGGTCCATAATAAGCTCAGTCACTTAAACATTACAGTGTAAATAATACCCGCTTTTATGCAGTACCATAAATACTTGAACATGTGAAGTTAAAGTTCAGTGTTGCCTTTAATCACCCTGAGCTGAAACTAATGTGTGAATAAACAAAAGGGTTCCACATGATTAAGGACGGCTCTGTTGGGTTCTGTCTTTAATCAGTTGTTAGATGGCAATGCTCAAGCAGAACCTGCTCTGTTTTTATTCTAATTGTCTGTTTGTTTTTTTGCCGAGCTGAACAACTGCCCACCCAGTGTGGTCTGATGCTGTTGCTTCTTTTGCCTTGATCGGGTGCCCACTTCTCGCCAGCCTTCTGGACCGGTTCCACCATGGAGTTTCCTGCTGTACCACACCTGCAAGAATTGACCCTCCTGATGATACTGCTGCTGCACAGACTCTATTTAATCATAGCCATTGCTTCTCCTGTATGGACAAGATGACTAGTAGTGACCAGATCACTAGTAGAAATTAAATTCTTGATATTAAAAAAAAAAAAAAACACTAGTAAAAATTCATATTATTATGGGGTCCAACATATGGTACTTTTTGAGTTATTAGTTTAAGTTTCAAGTTGTTTTCCATCACAAGTACATGGAAACCACCATGATTTATGTTCACCATCACCAGACCCTGCTATAGATAAGAAGACAGCCCATAACCAACCTTAAAGACAACTTGCTGCAGATGCTACATGAGCTCAGTTTGCTAAGAGAACCAAGCTTGCAGGGATCTGCTAATAGCCCGGACTCGCTAGCTCTACGATCTGTCTTGCTCACTAATGTCTGCTCACTGGACAATAAACTGGACTACATGAGACTCCAGCAGACTACCTAGCAAGAGTTCAGAGACTGCTGTATTTCGGTTTTTACTGAAACGTGGCTTAGTGCCAGCATTCCTGGTGCTGCCATTCAGCTGGATGGGCTGGCTTTGTTTCGTGCTGACAGAAGTGCAGCTCTGATGAGAAAAACACATGGAGGTTGTTTACTTCAACATGGAATAGTCTAAGAACTATAATAGTGCTTGTTGCAAAGTACTGTTCTCCACTGGTAGAGTTTGTGATTGTCAGATGCAGACCATTTTATGGAGCCACCTTAGCTACTCAGATCATATTTGTGTAGTGCTGATCCCTGCATACAGACCGCTCATTAGGTCCTCAGACCAGAGGCAGGTGAAAACCTGGCCAGCAGGAACGTTTTGAGCAGACTGCATGGGATGTGTTTAGGGAGGCTGCCACTGAAAGTGATTCTGTTAACTTGGAAGAGTATACAGCATCAGTGATTGGCTATATCGGCAAGTGCATTGATGATGTTACTGCCTCCAAGACCATCACCACACGCAAAAATCAGAAGCCGTGGATGACTGCTGAGGTGTGCACGCTAATGAAGGCCCATGACTCAGCCTTTAGAGTGGGTGACAAAGCGGCCCTAAGGACAGAGAGGGCCAAACTGTCACAAGCTATGAGAGAGGCGAAGCGCACATGCTCAGAGAAACCATGGATACTTCCAAAATACCAGTGACACATGGCGCATGTGGCAAGGCATTCGGGCCCTCAGCAACTACAGGAAAACATCTCCGTCCTGTGACAGTGATGCCTCCCTGCCAGATGTACTGAATGGTTTCTATGCACGCTTTAGAGCGCAGAATAATGTGGCAGCAGGAAAGATCTCGCTAAGCAGCGCCGTTGTTTCAGCGTGCTTCAAGGCCACCACCATTGTCTCCATGCCAAAGAAATCTCCAGTGTCTTGCCTCAATTACTATTGTCCTGTTGAACTCACACCCATCATCATGAAGTGCTTTGAGAGGCTTGTAATGAGGCACATCAAGACCCAGCTCCCTCCTTCAATGGACCCTCTGCAGTTCGCATATTGCTCCAACCGCTCTACAGATGGCGCCATAGCCACTCTTCATCTGGCCCACACTTAGACTTCAGATCAGCATTCAATATCATTATTCCTCAGCATCTAATTGGAAAGCTGAGCCTGCTGGGCCAGTACACTTCCCTCTGCAATTGGATCCTGGACTTTCTTACCAAGACACCTCAGTCAGTCTGGATTGTGAGCTGCATCTCTAACACCATCACACTGAGCACTGGAGCCCCCCCAGGGCAGTGTGCTCAGTCCACTGCTGTTCACTTACTGTTGCTCAATTTTCAAGACCTCAGCTAGACGTCACAGAGGGCTCCACCCTTTCGGGAAGATACTCTTTTGCTATCCTTGATTCTCTAAGTCCTCAATTTTAGCTTCTAACCTTTTTTTATTCATTTTAATATGTTCATGTTATATAGCATTTACTCAAGGCTTTTATTCCTGCCACTGGATAAATAAGAGCACTAATTTACATTTTTTGTTTAAATTATAGGGTATATTTTCCTCTTGTTAATAAAATGCACTTGTTTTAAAAATCAGTGCACATTAATTTCAGGGAGTGAATCAATGTCTCCCACAGCCTCATTGTCCATGTGATTTTCCAATGTTCAGCCAACAGTATTATCATCCACACTATGTAAAATGCATAGGCTATGTAGACGTGAGTTTGCCTGATTAAGTGCATTGCACATCTCCAAAATTTGTGCTTGTCCCGTCTCTCCCTTGGGGTCATCATATTCTTGTCAGAAATGGGACTGCTTGAGCCAGATGGAGAAGTCAGAGTGACTCCTGCGCAAGATCAACCATAGTATGGCTTGGATCAGGAAGAAGCAAAGCCAGCAACAAGGCTCGATGCGATCTGGATACCGAGCTGTATGCTTACCATTACCACGCCAGGAGATGCGGCAACTCCCCAAGCTGGATCTGACTTTAAACCTGTTGGGGTAGACTCAGTTGGAAACCCTAGAATTCAAGTTAGAGTGGGAGGTACAGGCCTTCGGCATGGCTTTCGATGACCCCTTTACTGTTGTTTAAGCTTGTCACAATATATAACAATGTTTAAACTAGAAGATTCATGCCATCAATATGACATCAATATCAGCTTGTACTTCTGATGTATGAAGCAATAGATGAAATCAAACGTTTCCCATGGTGTACATCAAGGTGTTCAATTTTATCCACCAAGGTCCAGTGTGACTGCAGGTTTTAACTCTAATCAAACAGGAGCACGCCTGTTTCTACTGGTGTATTCAGTTAGTCCCAGTCTTCAAACTGATTATGTGTACTCCCACTTTGTTTTATCAAAACCTGCATCCAAACAGGTCCTTTGTGGCTAAGATTGGACACCCCTGGTTTTACTATGTTTAATTTGTAAGACTTTTTCATGAAATAAACTGAAATGGTTGATTTTTCAGACACTTGACTCATCTGAGAGCTCCTTGTTTCAGGTTGTTAATGAACTGCTGCCATCTAGTGTAGAAAGCACATAGTTGGAATAGAGTAGCTGACTGACGACTCCTTTTCCGAAGCTCCTCCTCCTCTACACCTCTACCTGCTGGTCCTACCTGTCACTTTGATCTTTTTTCATTCTGCATTCACTTCACTCAGAGACACCAATGAGGAGCTTTTAAACAGTGACTGTATGTGTTTGTTTCTTGATGTGTGATTCTGAAAGGAGCTAAAACTCACTCAGTGGGTTGAAGGGCTACGGTGGCTGATTCTTAACTGTGCTGCTCTGATCTTTACAGACGTCCTATAAGTGAAAGTGGAGTTTGGACTAAAGGAGCCGTTACAGGGAAACAGCACAGCAGCAGTTGGAGGAAATGGCTGCTAGAAACCCTCTTTCAGAAGAAGAGCTTTCGTGTCCTGTGTGCTGTGAAATCTTCAGGGATCCTGTTATTCTGTCGTGTAGCCACAGTGTGTGTAAAACCTGCCTGCAGACGTTCTGGGAAATTAAGGAGTCTCAAGAATGTCCAGTTTGTAGGAGAAGATCCTCTAAAGATTTCCCTCCAATTAATCTTGTTCTGAAGAACCTTTGTGAGGCTCTTCTAGAGAGCAGGAGTCAGAGATCTTCAGCAGGGTCTGAGGTGCTCTGCATTCTGCACAATGAGAAACTCAAACTCTTCTGTCTGGATGATAAACAGCCTGTGTGTGTGGTGTGTCAGTCGTCAAAGAAACATAGAAATCATGAATTCTGTCCAACAGATGAAGCTGTGACTGAGTTTAAGGTATGGAATCCTTTTTTCTATCTAAAATATGATACAAGCAAAATAGAAGAATCTTTGTCATTTGAGTAACTGATTAACGCATTATGTATGATAAAGACAAATCCTGTAAATGCATGTGGTTTCAGGGCAAAGGGCAGAAGATATGGCCAAGGCCTAGAATAGTTAGGTCATAAACATGTCCTGTTTTTTCATTAACTAAGCTATACAACTTCTCAGCACCACCGAAACCAGGTTTATGTTTTATGTTCAAATATTTCAAATGAGATAGAATGCATTTTTTAAGTACTGTCTAATTGCAGGAAAAACTCAAGAGAATTTTGGACTCTCTGGAGAAGAATCTGAAAGTCTTAGAGGAAGCTAAACAAGACTATGACCAAACAGCAGCTCACATTAAGGTGAAACATCATCTTGAATTGTGAAACATGTTTCTAAGGTCATGTTTCTGATGAGTGTCCACTTCTCCTGTAGGTGGTAAATGCTTGTAGATCATCTGTTAGAGTTTGTGTTTCCTAATGGTCTCTCATTCCAGACCCAGGCCCAGCACACAGAGAGGCAGATAAAGGAGGAGTTTGAGAAGCTTCACCAGTTTCTAAGAGATGAAGAAGCAGCAAGGATAGCTGCACTGAAGGAGGAAGAGGAGCAGAAGAGTCAGATGATGAGGAGGAAGATTGAGGAGTTGAATGGAGAAATATCATCTCTTTCAGACACAATCAGAAACATAGAGAAGGACATGGAAGCTGACGACGTTCTGTTCTTACAGGTAAGAATCACTTCACTCTCTCTCTCATGTTCTTTTCTCCCTTTATAAAGTCTTGAACACTGTGAAATTGTCAGTGTTTGCTGATGTTTTTAAATCAGTGCTGTCAGTATTTAAGATATTAATTTCTTCCTTTTTCATGAATCAACACCTAAAAAGTAATAAAAAAGTTATTTTTATTTCTTCTCTCAGAACTTCAAGTCTACAGAGAAACGGTAAGTAAATGTCTACAATATATTGTATGTATTGTAAATATGAATGAATGTATTATAATGAAATGAAGGTGAATAAGGATTGTGTGTTAATGGTGTAGTGATGAGAACAGTAGCAGAAATATTTATTTAACAGAAACAACAGAATTATTGTCTCGAGACAATAAATGTCATAAAATATTGATATTTAGTCAAATAAATTACAGGCTGTAAAGTTTCTACAGTGATATATTTGACACAATCCTCTATTTTCAGAGCTCAGCTCAAACCAAAGGATCCAGAGAAGACATCAGGAGCTCTGATCAATGTTGTGAAACACCTTTCCAACCTGAAGTTCAGAGTGTGGGAGAACATGCAGGAGATTCTCCAGTACAGTAAGTTCTGATTTTAGATCAAATTTTGTTATAATTTTTTATCAGACCAATACAAGTGTTTGTAATTGTATTTTTAATCCAAATATGACAATTAAAATATTATTTTCAATTAAAATATTAATTTCTGTCATAATAATCAAAGAAAATATTTTAAATATGAATTTTGTTTCATTAATTAAATATTAGGTAAATTCACTTATTATTATTATTATTATATTATTATTATTATTATTAGTAGTAGTAGTAGTAGTATTTTATATTTAATATAATTATAATTATATTTAATTATATTTATATATTTTTCATGGTTCACTATTTTATTGTTTAGTACAAATGATTATTGGCCATGTCAGAGCAGATCAGGTGAGGATGTACAAATGTACAAAATCATCTTCAGCTCTAAATTACTCTAAACTCTAATTCTGGCTAAAGATCACAACAGCTAGCGTGTAATACATATACACGCTAGCTGTTAAATTATTAAATTTTTAATAATATTTAATTAAATCATATTCATTTAGAAAATGTGTCAGGATTAGATTTTGCCCCATCATTTGATAAAAATACAAGACAATAAATTTATTTTCTTAAACAATTTATTGTACATTGTAGATACAGATACATATTTTTTATATGTAATATTTATGTTTTTAAAAGAAAGCATCGAAATAAATTATCCTTCAGGAATCAGTATGAAAGTCGTTGTGTGTGAAAATGTTAATGGATATTCAGCTCTGTGAGTGAATCACTACAGAAAAATGCTGCATTCAGATTAGATCTGTCACTGGACTATAATGACCATTCACTACTGAAAATACACTTTAGTGCTGCACTGAACTGAACATCAACATTTAGTCCAGGATTAAAGTTGATCTGTGTTCTGGAATCGACCTCTAAAGCTGTTTTACTCACAGTAAAGAAAATAGTCTGTAGAGGTAAAACATTTACAGAAATGAGAGAAAAACATGATGTTTCATTGTGTTCTCTCTCCTCAGCCTCTGTTACTCTGGACCCCAACACTGCACATCCAGACCTCCACCTGTCTGATGATCTCACTGCTGTAGAAGACAGAAACCAGAGATCATCACTTCCTGATAATCCAGAGAGATTTGATGAGTATGCATGTGTTGTGAGCTCTGAGGGTTTTAACTCAGGGACACACTGCTGGGACGTCCAGATTGGAGACAGTTATAGTTGGTCACTGGGTGTGATAACAGAGTCTGGAACAAGAAAAGGAGAATATTTCTGGGGTTCAGTGTGGAGTCTGGAATACAACAAAAGCCGTAATAAAAATTGGATACGCTGTCCAGGACAACCACGTCACTACATCACACCTAAAGAAAAACTGCAGAGGGTCAGAGTGCAGCTGGACTGGGACAGGGGGAAAGTGACCTTCACTGATCTTCTAACCAACACACACCTGCACACTATAACACACACTTTCACTGAGAGAGTTTTACCACTTTTCTCTAATGTGTCTGATCATCCTCTGAGGATCTTACCAGTGAAGACGTCAGTAACAGTGGAACAGCACAGTTAAAGTTGATGCTGCTTAGAATGAACATTTATTCAGGTAGTGAGTGTCTGAATTATGATCATAAGAATATGTCATTATATGCATATTTTTAATTAATTCATTTGTACTATTCCATCCTAACATGTCTGTGTGGAAATAAAATGCTGATTTAAGGTGTCATAGACTGATCTTAAAGTCAGATCTTTAAAACTCTGCTTTGGCTCAGAGATTAATAGTTTACTCTGTGAAATAAACTGCATTATAGTATAAACTGAATGCATGTTGTGTATTGAATATTATCCCACAGCATCATGTAAAGATCATCCAGCAGATAAAATGGAGGAGATCTGTCTCCTGTGTGACCAACACACTCACAGAGACAGACTGACCCAACACACACAATGCAATATCACAAACAAACTAACTTGTAATAATACAAAGTCATAATGTAATAAACAGCTGGAACTAGATGTGATACAGCAACGAACACGCAATGCAGGCCCGGGCAGAGCAAGTCTCATCCCCGATCCTGATTTGAGACACAGAGATGGTGAGCACAGTTTCCACCGTTCAACATCCGCTTATCCTGCTGATTACAGATCTCGTAGCCCCAGCCAGCAGTCCCAAAATTGCTGTTTTGGAAGGTTCCAAAATAAAGTTAGCTCTCTTTGATGGCACTGAAGAGTGGGACTCATTTCTCTTGCCATTTGAACGGCTGGCAAGAAAATACAGTTGGAACAGCACCCAGCGAGTACACAAATTACTTGAGTGTCTAAGAGGTGTATCTGAACCTGCCTCACCATCGCACTCCACTTAAATCTACATCCCTGCTGTGTGATTTGCTCTCCTGCATCTCTAACAGTCCTCATGTTCACGCTGCTCTCTGTTCTCCGTGTTTTTCTGTGTTTTGTCTCTGCTAAGCTTTTATTTTGAAGGTTTTCAGTTTTCTTACTGGCCGCTCCTCGTGATAATGCAGTTTTTAATACAATGTTTAATGTCAGATTAGATTCTCACAGCAAACGCCGCTGCATTCTCTCCTTGTTTATCACACAAACTTCTCAAAACGTCTGCTGTAGTGATGTGTCATTCGCGAATGAGGCGGCTCTTTGAGTTTTGTTTTCTTTACTTTTTTTCTTTTGTAAATGAAGACAAATCAGATGAGTAGATCTAATGACACTGTAGCTGTAAATCTCAGCCTCCATGGAGCATTCTGACTCCGCCCCCTCATTATCACCAACACCTGCTGCTTTTTGAGTTGGTTTGCCTCATTTTCTTTTTGCCAATTTTCATGTAATTCTTGGCGATGTTCCCAAGAGAGCCTCGTTAGCTCTTCTGCTTTTTGACTTTTACCTCCCTTTGGTTGTTGATTGATTGGTGGATATGCCTGTATTTGGCCCGTCTGCCAATCTTGTGATCGCTGCATTTCTAAATTCAATTAATTAATTAATGATAAGATACACCAACGTTTTTAAAAAATCAAATCATAGATAATCTCACTAATGTGGCTAATTTGATGTGCTGAAAACGAGAAAAATGCTACATAATGAAGAGCTGTTTGGGAGCTGAAAGAGTTGACTCTCATTGGTGAGCTGAGCCGATTGATCTGATTCACTGAAAAGAGCCGCAGTGTCCATCACTAATGACCAGCTCGTCCACAGTAGAGGCGTGGGTGGTCTCTGATCCACCGCAGTCCCTCCTCCACTGCTAGCCGTGCCTTCCCCAGTTCCATCTGTTCTGACTGAGGGATAGGAGTGTTGACTGGAGGAGCTGGAAGTGAGTATGATCTTAATCTCTGTTTTTCTCCCAGCAGACAATCCAGGGCGACAAAGGTCTGAATAAACTGGTTGAGGTTCATGGACTCTCCTGGACACACCATCTCACTTACAAGTCCTTCTGAACCCCCTCTTGTAAACGGTAAGCAGGGCTGCTTCACTCCAGACACTCCCAGCTGTGACAGTGCAGAATTCAGTCCTCCGCAGTGTGATTGACTTCTTTCACATTAAAAAGATCCTACATCTGTTCCTGCCTTGAGGTGATAAACAGCTTTAAAAATGCCTAAATTTGCGTTTCAGATTTAGTTCTGTGGCCACATTGATGTAATCCGTAACTGTACCTGTCAATAGGAATATAATAAACTAGATTTAGTGTAAATCTGAGTGAAACTGTTCAGGATGCTCATCCGTTTAAAGACTGCACTGCATTAGAAACTCCTCACAGCTGTCAGATGAGCTGTCAGGTCTTTCAGGGAGACAGTGAGGGGAACACAGCCACAGCTGGAGTTTCAGGGGGTCTAATGAAGGACTGATGTTTAATCTAAGACCCTCCCTAAGGGGTAGACGGACATTCTTGATGTAGAAAGCGTAACCGAGAGAGAAGAGACTCTGATTGAGTGAATGAAGGTAAACGGAGGAAACGCCTGTGTCTGAAACTGATTAGTGGACGCAGATCGCAATATAACAAACTGACTGTCCTGTCATTTATCTTCTACTGCTATGTTTTCTATCACATGCCTATTTTTAATGTAATAATGTAATAAAAAAAAAAACTTTTTTGGTGAGAGGATTAACAGCAGATGTTGTGATAGTGAGTGAGGGGTCATTGATGGACAGGGCGTTGGCTGGACATGTGAAGATCTGGAAATTAGCCCAGTTCAGCATAGAATTGTCTGGGAAAACGTCCCCCCAGAATTTTTAATTAACCTGTAAAATATGCAGCTGCTACTTTTTATTTAATTATTTACTCATCGAGATCGAGTCAGGATGGTTTTCAAATGAGGAATTTTTTTATGCACACTGTAAACATGAATTTGGAGTCAGTAATCTGGCTGCCTTAAATTTTAATTTTAATAAAGTGAAGTGATTTTTTTTTTTTGAGAGAGAGAGAGAGAGAGAGAGAGAGAGAGAGAGAGAGGACAGAACCTGAGGGCGAGCCTTCAGTCTGATTGATTAGTGGGTAAGTGCGACCTTGAATGAAATCATGGATGAGAGTTATGAAATTCGAGGATGGTTATAAAATATTCTGGGTTGTGTCTGTTGATGGCACTGTGCCAGCATCTCTGAACACTCGTTTTCTTACAGAGACTGACCATCAAAAGATTAAACACTGTGTAAAAGACTGGTACATACCTGTATACTGTTCTTTAAATAGTAAAATAAGTGAAAATGGTGTATTGTGTGTCGGTTCTCATTACACCCTCAGAAAGACTTTAAGGGGAAATTCCACCAATTTTTCAAAATTTCTGTATAAATCAGTCACTGAGATGTAAACAGAGTCATTCAGAGTGGTCTGATGTGAGATGATTCACTGTATAGAAACTTACTGGCTCAGATTTCAGTAGTGGTGTTTGGAGCCAGGGGTCATGATGTACAAATATAACCATTTTATTTATGATCCAGAATGACCATTGAACCATTGAGTTTTGTACAGTGAGGTCTAAAAGTCTGAGATGACACTGAATATCTGGGATTTTTTTTTTTTTCATTTAAACCTGGAAGTAAACAACAGAAAATTTTAGAATAACAAGAAAAATAAACAAGTATTCAATATTCTGTATATTTCCAGATGACGATTCAAATTTTAATGTTAAGGCCTTTGTACAAAATGTTTTTTTTAGTCTTATTTCTTCCACTGAAGCTTGTGTTCACACAACTCTCAGGTGGACCTGATCTTCTCATCAGAGGCTTTGGTCACTGAGTGCGTTTACATGCACTTAATAATAATATAAATGTAGAGAATCAGATTTTGTCAGTAAACCAATCAACATGTTTACATGCTCATGAATAATGAGATAATGGGAAACTCTGGGTCTACATGAGTTGGGCAGTAATCAGATTTCTGCTTTGCAACCAGCGAATAAACTCACAGAAGAAGACGTGACGTGAACGTAATGTAAAAGTCAAACTGCATACCACAGCTTTTTTTTTAAAACATCGTTTAAACATACCTGACATTATGAACATACATCATTTAGAAAAGGAAAAATATTCAAATCCTTAATTTTGTGTTTGGTTTCAGCGTTGCTCCAAAAGTGTTTTGCTGCATCTCGTGACATCCACCGTCTGTTCTCGCACATGTGCAGAGTGAGAAATCCAATAGAAATTGGAGTATGAGTATACATGCATTGAGAAATCGGATTACTGAGCTAAAATACTCCGATCTAGAAATCTGATTAAGAAATCAGTTAAAGAGAGCTCTCTTTATCGGATTTCTTAATCAGATTTCTAGATCGGAGTATGGTGTTTACATGACCATTTGAATAATCTGATAACTGCAGAAATCCGATTATGATCGGATTATTGAGTGCATGTATACGCACTCACTGATAGTGATTACTCATGCCAGCTTTGAGTTCACAATAAAACAAAAGAGGGAAAAACACTATGAAACAGTGAGATTTGTGTACATATTTTAGACTACTTCACTTTTCACTCAGATTGCTATGCTGATAACATCATTTATTATGAAAAACTTATTAGAAAAGAATAAAAATAGAAGCATTTTCACCAGTGGTCTCAGACATTTGGGTGTGATTGTATTTAATGTTGATAATGGAGGAATAGAGGTACATCTGATGTAATGTAAAATGAACACATTCAAAAAGACACATTTTAGGCCAACTTCTTCTCTCAAAATTGTCATAAAACAATGTCTTGGCATAAGGGAGACAACTTGTAACAATTTTCATGTACAAACTTTCTGTGATGTACCTTTTAGAGGCATTAAGTGCTTTAGATGTCTGGTTCCTACCACCACCACTGTGAACAATTCTGAGGACGTTTCTCTACAACAGGGAATTTCACATCACACCACTCTGAGCAACTGTTTATCTAAAAGATTGAATTATGCAGACTTTTTGAAAAATTGCTGTAATTCTCCTTTGACAATCTAAACAACTCACAAATCTCTCAAGTTTAACCTAGCTAGCCAAGGTGGGCTTATTCAGGTTGAACCTGTAATGTAGTGGCTGGTCTATGCAACACAAGGATCGAACTAACAAGCCCCGCATAAGAAACCTGGCGAGCTATGGGATTAGCCACCAGACGCAGAGAGGAGTTCAAAAGGGGAAAGTGGTCAACAGAAAAAGACACTCAAAGTTTTTTTTGTTTTTTTTTATTTTGTCGGTTATGCTTATGCTGCAAGAAATATTTTGGGAGGACCTTATATACATTGAGATATACATTGAGAACTGTGGGGGAGGAAGGAAGAAGAAAAGGAGCTTGAGGTGGGGCAAGGAGAGGGATGGTGAAGAAGGAAGACGAAGGTGAAAGATTAATGTGGAAGAAGAGGAGGAGGTTAAGGGGGGGGCGGTTAAGATGAGAGAGATAAGGGGCAATTATTGTCATGACCTTAAGGTTGTGAGATGAAGGATCATGTCAGTACAACAAAGGATTGAGGGTTAAAAGAGAGAGTGTGACAGTTATCACGTCTCTGTAAACGGTGGGTGACAATTATCACTTTTCTGCAACAAAAGGCCATTGGCTAAAACTCTACAATAAACATGGATAAGACCATAAGGAAATAATATGTACATATACTGAGAATATTTTCTCTCAGTATGCAAACTAAATAGCTGTAGTGTATAACCATCAGTATTTCAGTGTATTAAAATAGCAGTGATCAGTAACTATTCCATTAAAACTAACTTATGTGAAGTGCTAACGTTTATGATTCAGTGCTGTACTTGTCGCTACCCGACTGCTAAAGCCCATGTGCACCACTGTCATGCATGCATACACTGCATTACATTGTACCATGCTGCCCGATCTTTTATTAGATTAGCTTGGGGTGTTTGATGCTGAAACCACTATATAAGCATTTTCATTCTCTTTCCTAGTTTAATACTACTTAATACAAGTAGATGCCATGTGCAAATGTATAAGCCTATTTTGCGCAGCTCTGTTCAAGCTATTGATATTATACAGGCTAACATTGCTAAATTATACAAAGCAAAACTGATCAGGTAGATAATCACACCTGTGTTTTCACTCATAAACATTTTTACATAGAAAACCAATCTTTCCCTCTATTGGGACAGTGTTGGCTGAAATGAACTAAAATGACTGATTTTCAGAAATGTATCACCTCTCGTCTCATTTGAGAGCTCCTTGTGTCAGATTGTTGATGAACGAATGTCATCTAGAGTAGAAAGAACACAGTATAGAGCATCTGACTTGCTGAGAAGCTTTTAAACAGTGACTGTATGTGTTTGTTTCTTGATATGTGATTCTGAAAGGAGCTAAAACTCACTCAGTGGGTTGAAGGGCTACACAAAAATCATGATTTCTGTCCAACAGATGAAGCTGTCACAGACTTTAAGGTATGAAACTTCTAATATTTTGATATCTTAAGGGTAACCTGTTAGGTAAAAGTGAAGCCAAGTGGTTTCAGGCCAAACAGTACACAGTGTGGGTAAATTATCAGTAAGACAAAAAATTGTTGTTGAATTGTTGTTATAAATGTTACTCTACATTGGGCAAAAATGAAAAAGTCTTTTCTAAATTTGAGCAGATAGTACAACTGCCATTCTTTCCTGTCCACCTGCATTCTTTAGGACGATGCTTACTTTTAAAAAAGTTTAATTGACCAAATAATGTAAAGTGTGAAGAATACACTCCACTAAACTGTTCTTTAATTTCAGAATAAACTCAAGGCTGCTTTGGAGCCTCTACAGAAGAATCTGAAAGACTTAGAGGAAGCTAAACAAGACTATGACCAAACAGCAGCTCACATTAAGGTGAAACATCATCTTGAACTGTGAAACATGTTGCTGAGGTCATGTTTCTGATGAGTGTCCACTTCTCCTGTAGGTGGTAAATGCTTGTAGATCATCTGTTAGAGTTTGTGTTTCCTAATGGTCTCTCATTCCAGACGCAGGCCCAGCACACAGAGAGGCAGATAAAGGAGGAGTTTGAGAAGCTTCACCAGTTTCTAAGAGATGAAGAAGCAGCAAGGATAGCTTCACTGAAGGAGGAAGAGGAGCAGAAGAGTCAGATGATGAGGAGGAAGATTGAGGAGATGAATGGAGAAATATCATCTCTTTCAGACACAATCAGAAACATAGAGAAGGAAATGGAGGCTGAGGACGTTCTGTTCTTACAGGTGAGAATCTTTCTTCTTTCTTTCTTTCTTTCTTTCTTTCTTTTACACACACTTAGTAACAGAACACACAAAAAACACTACATTTTCTACACTTATGATGAAAGTCTATGCCTTTCCTTACCAATACGATTGCTTTAGAAAAGAAAAGGCCAGTTCAGGGGCTTCACCTGTCCTGGGCTTCTCGGGCTACGGGCCCAAACATTTTTATACAGCCCTGAACCTTATAATGATACTATGTCGTTAGTGTTTGGACAAAATACTTTGAAAAGGTAGTGATAGCTGAATAATGACTATACTGTCCTAAATGTACACTGTAACATATTCCATTAAAATACAGAAAAAGTAGCATATTCAGAATAATTACTTCATAAAAAATTCACTTATCATTTAAAATAAGTTTTGAAAATTATCCACTTTTTTTTCTCTGTCTGCTTCAGTCCACTGCTGCTCCCACATTTGCCTGAACAGTCCAGTACAAAAAGATGCAAAACTTATAACTCACAAGCATGTCCACTACTACTAGCTTGATCATCCCTCAAAAGAACCCAGTAACACTGAGATTAATAACTGATCATCGCATTGATTTATCAGTCTACTCAGGCTTTAGCAGAGCTCAGTAACACTGAGATTAATAACTGATCATCGCATTGATTTATCAGTCTACTCAGGCTTTAGCAGAGCTCAGTAACACTGAGATTGATAACTGATCACATTGATTTATCAGTCTACTCAGGCTTTAGCAGAGCTCAGTAACACTGAGATTAATAACTGATCATCACATTGATTTATCAGTCTACTCAGGCTTTAGCAGAGCTCAGTAACACTGAGATTAATAACTGATCATCACATTGATTTATCAGTCTACTCAGGCTTTAGCAGAGCTCAGTAACACTGAGATTAATAACTGATCATCATATTGATTTATCAGTCTACTCAGGTGTTAGTAGGTACTTTATTGTTTGGAAACAAGCCATTAATTGAGTTCCTTTTCAGAATGTATGAGCATGTTTGCTACATGCTGTCCACTTATTCTAAAATAGTTATAAGCATTGATGGTGTTTCTTTTAAAGATTGTATGTTAGTTTGTATTTAGTGGGTAAGTATTTTAAAAGTATTCTCCTAAAAAATAAAATTGTATTCTAAACACTGGTTTTTCAAAATGTAACTGAAGATACGTAATTTCTGTATTCTGGATATGTATTCCCAATAGTTCTGTTACATCCCAAACCTGCATGCCACTCCTCTGCAACTATAGACTATAACTTTATGAGACAGAGACAGAATGAGAGTGAAAGAGCACAAGCAAGATAGAATGAGCTGGAGCACAAAATAAAGAGAGATAGAATGACAGAGAGAGAACATAAAATTAAAATTTCTGTAAAAAGACAAATCTACTGCATAGGACAATCATTCCTTAGAAAACAAGCTTAGACTGAGCCTGATGTTGTATGTGAACCATCAGCTCATGGCCTGAAAAATGATATTTTCTTGGCCAGTCAGGCTCTGGTCGGGTAGCGGGGCTGTAAAATGTGTATCAAGATGCTCATAAAATTACCCAGATGGAATGGCATGTTTTAACATCTTAAAATATGGCTTGAATTAAGTTTTGGAGAAGTTTGGATTATGAAGAGTTTTACCGAAAAACTATTTAGCATTTAAAAGTATCAAAAATATATGAATGACTGTAAGTAAATAAATAGGAGTGTAGAAGAGATGGTTGATGTGTAGAGAGAGGAAATGTGGAGAGGACTTTAATAATGGCATTAGTGGAGAAACCTCTCACCTCTGGCTCACAGTGTTTTTGTTGAGCTTAAGTATAGAGATTTCAGAGTTCAGAACAAGTGAATGTTAACTGAGTGATGAATGTAAGTCTAGTGTAGATATTGTTATTTATTTAATTTACAAACTGACAAGGTAGCTACGTTGCTAATGATGTGCATGCTTGTGTACGTTTGTCACTGAACTACTTCTGATCTGCTGTGTATGTAATAGTATCATGATACTGATGTGGAATTCAGTCTAGTATACATTAATTACTTAGTTTTTCATGTGAAACTTTACTCTGAAAGGTTACTGTTTACATCTGTACTCACTCTCTCCTCAGCTAAATGCACTGCAAATGCAATGCTGCATTATTTAAAGATCCAAAGTGGCACATGCACACACAGGGCATGTCTCAAATTCTTGTGTCTGATTGGCCATGTGAATGAATGGCGTAATAACACATTAAGCTTTTTTTCAAGTAATGTTCTTGTGCATGTTAAGAGTTCTGGGGGTACAGACACATTGTACATCGTATTTTAGGAGCTGAAGAATTGGGGTGATAAGCATTGTGGAGGAGGTGGCAGCTGCAACCTTTTGCTACCTTTTACATCCACCCCTGATAGCTAGTTCTAGGTTTTGTTAATAAGAAGCTTTAATTGTCTCCTCCACAAGTTGCTCAGAATGCAGAAACAGGCTTTGAGTATGTGTGTTTGGGTGTGTAGAGATGCGTGTGTGGTTTCTGTAAATTATAAAAAAACATAAACGTTGGGTAACACGCTATTTGCACAAAGGTGTAGATTATACACTACTAAATGGTTAACAAGTCTGAAAAATATGAGTTTTCTTTTACTAATTGTATTAATAATCAGTACTAAAATAAAATGAAAGGTGAATTTGGTAAAACAGGATACCATACATTATAAAAACTTTGTTTATAATGATTTATTTATTTACTTTATGAAAAACCACCAGAACTCTAAAAAAAATGGCATTTTGAAACACCAACAACCTAAAGCTCGGGTATGACATAACATGTTATGTGCAAAAAAGTGTAAATTATACATTACTACATGTTAATAAAACAATTTGAGTAATATAAGGAGTTTTCTTTGGCTAATTCCATTAATAATCAGTACTGAGATATAAAGTGAAAGGTGAATTTGGTACTACAGTGCAGATTCCAACAGAGGGCGTTCTAAACACACACAGTGATAATGCACATTAACTGAAGTCATTAACTGAAGACTAGCTTATCTGCTGGCATATTGCTAATATAGTAACACTCTAAAGTGAACTCTTCTAACAGTGTCTCCCAGTAAAGGAACTTAATCTGTAGCATAAACAAACAGCAGTAAAATAAACCAAATAACTGACACTGTAATCTGCACAACTGTTAACAATCTGTTATTCACTGAGAGCCAAAGTAAAATTAGCAATATCATGCTAATTACTATTGAAATTAGCAGAGTCAGCACATTTCTAAGCAAATAACATAAGAAGACCACATAAGTGATTATTGCAGTGTGACTTACCGTTTCATTAATGCACACATAACCCACAAATACAACAGATACATTCATAAGAGCTCTAAGTAGTGTACAGTAGTGAGCTCTAAGTAAATGAGCCAAATATATTTATTTGTTTACTTATTTTATAAATTAAGACAAAAGAAATGAGCAGATCTTCTGACTCTGTATCTGATCAACAGTGGAGCCTCTCCTGGATCCTCTGAACATCATCATCAACAAACCTGCTGCTCGTTGTGTTAGTTTGGCTCTGGTTCTGTTGTTGGTGGTTCTCCTGTAATTCTTAGCCGTGTTTCCAAGTGAGCCTCATTAGATCTTCACCTGCATTTGTTTGTTGATGACTGGTTGATGGATTTGTTTGCGTTTTGCTCGTCGGTCTAGTTTGTGATCCCTGCCTCTCAAAATTCATCCAGTCAAATTACTTTATCAACATCTGACTGATTAGATTAATTTATAAATAACAAACATAATGAATTTTATTAAGTAGTGATTTAGAAAGTGAAGTTTTATTGAATATTAAATGATAGATAATGTCACTAACTTGGCTGTTTGCTGGTGTTTGTGTGTTTCATATGAAAAACACCTGAAAAGTCTCTTCATTTTTAACTACAATGTTCTTTTTGTTTCCCTCTCAGAACTTCAAGTCTACAGAGAAACAGTGAGTAAATGTCAGACCACACATTTTATCTAATGTTAAAGTCATTATTACATTTAAATCTACAGTATATTGTATTTATTGTAAATATGAGTGTATTATAATGAAATGAAGGTGAATAAGGATTGTGTGTTAATGTTGTAGTGATGAGAACAGAAGCAGAAATATTTATTTAACAGAAACAACAGAATTATTGACTCCAGACAATAAATGTCATAAAATATTGATATTTAGTCAAATAAATTACAGGCTGTAAAGTTTCTACAGTGATATATTTCACACAATCTTCTATTTTCAGAGCTCAGCTCAAACCAAAGGATCCAGAGAAGACATCAGGAGCTCTGATCAATGTAGTGAAACACCTTTCCAACCTGAAGTTCAGAGTGTGGGAGAACATGCAGGAGATTCTCCAGTACAGTAAGTTCTGTTTCTCTTAGGGTTGATCTCTCACACACAGTCTGCTTCTGCACTAATGACACACTGTTTATAAACTATTTGTAACATGTTATCATGTTCTCTTTATTCAGGGTGTAAAAAGGACACTGAAACTGTACTTAAGTGAAAGTATGAATACTGTACTGTGCAGAAATCTCACTCAGATAAAATGTGAAGTGTGGAGCTAAAATATACTTGAGTCAAAGAAAGAAGAATCAATGATTAGATCAAACAAATAAGATTTAAAATGATTTAAAAGTTTTCTTGTAATTTTTTTTATGTTCAAGTATTCATTTTTTTATATAATTTCTAGTCTTAGTTATTAGTCCAAGTACAATGCTAGAGATAATATTTTATATTAAAATTGGGGCCATTGTCAAATTGTGTCTTAATGACCACAAAAATATTCTGAGATAATAAATCCCAGGAATTCAGTGATACAGATGAAATTTCAGAATTAATTACATCACAGACATTCAGTGAATATGTTGAGATTAGATTTTATGCTGTTATTTGAACAGGAGAGACAATTAATTTAGATTTATTACTATTTATCTTTTTTTAACTACAGAATATGTATTAGAGGTATACAATCCCGTTTCCAAAAAAAAGTTGGGACGCTGTGCAAAACGTAAATAAAAACAAAATGCATTGACGTGGAGATCCTGTATAAATCCTGTATTTAATTACAAATAGTACAAAGACAGCATATCACATGTAGAAACTGAGAAATTTTATTGTTTTTGGAAAAATATAGAAAGAAAAGACTGTTAAAGTTGTGGAATGCTAAAAAAACACCTGGTGGAATATCTCACACCTAATCAGGCAAAGTGGCAACAGGTCAGTTGAGAAAGGCTGAGTTTTTCAGAAGTAAAGATGAGGAGATGTGCGCAACTCTATGAAAGACTGCATGATCAAATAGTGCAACAATTTAAGAATAACATGTCTCAACATAAAATAGCGAAAACTTGGGTTTTTCGTCATCTATGGTACATAATATGATTAAAAGATTCAGAGAATCCAGAGAAATCTCTGTATGCAATGGACAAGGCCAAAAACCAGTATTTGCTGGCCGTGATCTTTGGGCCCTCAGGTGGCACTGCATTAAAAATAGACATGATTCTGTAGTGGAAATCACTGCATGGGCTCAGAAACACTTCAGAAAACCACTGTTCATCGCTGCATCTACAAATGCAAGTTAGAACTCTAAAACACAAAGCAGAAACCAGAAAATCCAGAAAAGCCACCGCCTTTTCTGGGCCTGAGATCATTTAAGGTGGACTGAGGCAAAGTGGAAAAGTGTCCTGTGGTCTGACAATTCAACATTTGAAATTCTTTGTAGAAACCATGGACACCATGTCCTCCAGACTAAAGAGGAGAGGGTCTGTCAGGCTTGTTGTCAGCACACAGTTTAAAGGCCAGCATCTGTGATGGTACGGAGGTACATTAATGCACATGGCATGGGTGACTTGCACATCTTTCCAGGCACTATTAACATTGAACGATATATACACATTTTGGAGTTATTTATGCTGCCACCTAGATGACTTGCACATATTACAACAGCATGACTACATAGTAAAAGAGTCCAGGTGCTAAACTGGCCGGTCTGCAGTCCAGACTTTTCACCACTGAAAACATTTGGCGAAAATATGAAAATAGGAATAAGGAGACCTTGAACTGTTTAGCAGCTAAAATCCTATATCAAACAAGAATGGGAAAACATTTTCAGAACAACAGCAATTGGTTTTCTCAGTTGCCAAACACTTACAGTGTGTTGTTAAAAAAAGAGGTGATGAAACTCAGTGGTACACATGCCCCCGTCCCACCTTTTTTGGAATGTGTTGCTGTCATCAAATTTAAAATGGGCAAATATTTTTCAAAAAGCAATAAATTTTCTCAGTTTCAATATTTGATATGTTGTCTTCATACTATTTTCAATCAAATATAGGATTTAAATGATTTGCACATCATGACATTCTGTTTTTATTTACATTTTGCACTGCATCCCCGTTTTTTTGGAAACGAGATTATTTTAGATAATGTAAAAATGATCTCGATGTCAGTGAGTGTGAAAATGTTAATGTATGTTCAGCTCTGTGAGTGAATCACTACAGAAAAATGCTGCACTCAGATTAGATCTGTCACTGGACTATAATGACCATTCACTACTGAAAATACACTTTAGTGCTGCACTGAACTGAACATCAACATTTAGTCCAGGATTAAAGTTGATCTGTATTCTGGAATCGACCTCTAAAGCTGTTTTACTCACAGTAAAGAAAATAGTCTGTAGAGATAAAACATTTACAGAAATGAGAGAAAAACATGATGTTTCATTGTGTTCTCTCTCCTCAGCCCCTGTTACTCTGGACCCCAACACTGCACATCCAGACCTCCACCTGTCTGATGATCTCACTGCTGTAGAAAACAGGAAACAGAGATCATCACTTCCTGATAATCCAGAGAGATTTGATGTTGGCTGGTTTGTTCTGTGTTCTGAGGGTTTTAACTCAGGGACACACTGCTGGGACGTCCAGGTTGGAGGCAGTGATCACTGGAGACTGAGTGTGATAACAGAGTCTGTAACAAGAAAAGGATTTATTTTCGGTGGTTCACTGTGGAGGCTGGGTTATGTTTTTGGTCAATACTCTCCAGAAGAGTTGAATCTCTTCCTCCCACCTAAAGGTAAGCCGCAGAGGGTCAGAGTGCAGCTGGACTGGGACAAGGGGAAGTGACCTTCACTGATCTTCTACCCAACACACACCCGCACACTATAACACACACTTTCACTGAGAGAGTTTTACCACTTTTCTCTAATGTGTCTGATCATCCTCTGAGGATCTTACCAGTGAAGACGTCAGTAACAGTGGAACAGCACAGTTAAAGTTGATGCTGCTTAGAATGAACATTTATACAGGTAATGAGTGTCTGAATTATGATCATAAGAATATGTCACTACATGTATATTTTAAATAATGTGTTTGTACCATTCCATCCTAACATGTCTGTGTGGAAATAAAATGCTGGTTTAAAGTGTCATAGAGTGACTCCTGATATCATTACAACATTAGAAACGTTATTTGAGTGAGATTTCACTCATTTTCAGTGTAGATTTTATTTCTGTATCATCCTGCATTTTTCTCCATCATTAGATCTTTAAAACTCTGCTTTGGTTCAGAGATTAATAGTTTACTGTGTGAAATAAACTGCATTATATTATAAACTGAATGCATGTTGTGTATTGAATATTATCCCACAGCATCATGTAAAGATCATCCAGCAGATCAAATGGAGGAGATCAGTCTAAAGCAGTGACCAACACACCCAGAGACAGACTGACCCAATACACACAGTGTAATAACACAAATATTATACAAACTCATAATGTAATAAACTGCTGACAATGTAATAAAATCCTCCTCCAACAATATAATAAACACTTTAACACATAATGTAGTGAGATATTACAATAATTGTTTAACACATTGAAGTCATGGTTTAATTATTTAAAGAATAATGTAATAACCTGAATGTGTAATAACACTGACCACATTTCAGGTCATTTTAAGTGTGTGCTCTCTCTGTTTAAACTATGTGTTAAGTATTAACTGAATGTGATGATAAACAAAGGTTCAGATTTTTTTTCCTTTATTTTTACAGCTTTTGTTAGTTTCTTCCACCCAATTCAGGACACAGTGTCTCTGCTCTCAAATGAACAAACACATTTTATAAATCTCCAAACACAGAGTGACCATTTATTACACTCACTATGTAGCTACACTCAGTGGCCATTTTATCAGAAACACCTACCATATAGATGCACTTTGTAGGTTTACAGTTACAGACTGCAGTTGCTGCACAGTTTATCAGCCCCCTTCTACCCCCTCCATCCATTGAAAAAGACCACCATAAGACCACCACTGAGCAGATATGATTTGGGTGGTGAATCATTATCAGCACAGCAGTGACACTGACGTGGTGGAGGGATGGTAGTGTGTTTGGTGCTGGTATCAGATACAGCACTGTTGATTTTACAGTTTTAATATTTCTGATAAATGTGTAGAAAAATGAAAATAGAAGAATTTAAAACTCATTCAGTGTTGAATTTGTTTAGACGTTCAAGTTGTTTTGAAAGGAAATGTAACATGGATTTTAAATCCTTTAAAGACCTTCATTATTGTAATAATAGGAAAATTACAAGATTTTCAGTGTCTGTCTTTGATGAGTGAGATCAAAAGAGTTTAGTCTGATTGATCAGGACAGATTAAATATGTCTTCTCTGCTGCTTCATCAGTGCACAGATTACACCAACAGCTGAACAGAGGACTTTTATTGGTGATTCTACATAAGCAGTCCATCACTGTCTGCTTGGATGGAGCTGGAATCATTAAGACTCTTTAGAAATATGAGGGAGTAAGAGATTTACAGTGTCTTTAGGACTGACAGACTGCCTGCATTACACAGACTCCACTCACTGGATCTTCATCAGTTTAATCTTCTTTATGATTGGACAGAATTATGACCAAAGGAAAACTACTGTACTACTGCACTGTATGATCAGAAAAACAATGATTACACAAAGTGTTTCTTTATAGGAAATGAAGGAATGTGAAGAAAACAAAACTGGAAAACTGTTTTAGGAAGAGCTAGAAAAGAAACCAAATAACATGCTTATACACACTAAAGTTTACAGTCATATTAAAACAAATGTAGTCTTGATTAATAATAACAAATAAAAGTGAAAACAGAAAAAAGAAATCTTTGAAAATCTTCAAAAAATGTTGGGTTTGGGACATTTCACCACAGCACTCACCGTGCTCTCATCCATGAGCATTTATCTGGTATGTATATATATATTATCATCTCAGTTGTAACTTAGAAAGAACATCTGTTCCTTATGAAATTCACACTTTTCATCATTACTATCATTTGTATAGTAATGATGAAAAGTGTGTCTTATATTTGTATTGTGTTCCACCAAAAAAGTAAGTATATATGTATATTATTTATATGATTACCCAGCAATCCCAGCTAATGTTTTAGAGCACTGTACCAATGAAGGCTAGAACAGGGACAAGGTGTTGGACGGGTTGTGTGGTATACCTATTTACTCGTAGTGCCCCGTAGAGGTCACAAGCAGTTTTACACTCGTCACCTTTTCTTGTTCTATTGAGGTTTCATGTTCTTCATAAATCTAATTTAGTGAAAATTGATGCTGTTCAAGTGTGGCCAGGATTAGGGTCAGTGGATAACGGTACTTTAAAGTGACTGAATTTAGACCACAGTAGTCTATACAGGGCTGTAAACCACCATCTTTATTTTCTATAAATAAGAAGCTCACCGCAGCAGGAGAAGTGAGCTGGGTTTGACAGTGAATGAATTTTGTTAGGTGTCATGGTTCCTGGAAATATGGAAATAGTCCCATGGCCTGTAGAGGGACAGTTTACCCTTCAGCTTTGCTAGCAAGCAGAGATTGCTTGTAAAGGCAAACCATCACATTTTTAAAATACAATCCAATCCTAATGAGGGGAAGGCACGGAGGCAGCTGTGACTGGGGCTGGAGTTTCAAAGGAGGCTTGTTTCAGAGTCCCAGGAAGGGGCAGTGTTGAACAAAGCTTACCCTCCTGAACTAATCAGTGCTGGGTTTCCTGAAAGGATCTATTAGTAAAAGTGCATTTGGGAAGCTGGGCCTGGATCAGTTCCTTAATTCTTTGTCAGCACTGAGGAGAGAGAGACCTCTGTAGGTGTGGAGGGGAACTGGTGGCTGGATGGATCTACAACACCTTCAATATAAAATCGTCATATTATAATACACAATGTTATAAAATTGGCCTATTTCTAAATGGACAAGTATTTGTGGGCAGCAAGGTAGAAGTGAAAAGGAAGGGAGCCATTTTCAAAGATCAAAACCACCAAATATTTATTGCTGTTATGTCCAGACTCTACCAATCAGCAGGAACAACAACAACAACAACAACATTAATAATAATAAGTAGTAGTAGAAGAAGATCACAAACAACAAAAATAGCTACAACAAGAAAAATTACAAAATACAGTGAATGTTTGTGTATCACTATTCATGTAAATTTGTGCAGGGGAAAAATGAGTCAAAAGGTATTTACAATATAAAATTAATCTTTCCCCATAGTTTACCTGTTTAATTTGTGAGACCTGGATTCTGTTTGCTGAAATGAACTAATAATTTAGAAACTTTGACTCATCTGAGAGCTCCTTCTTTCAGGTTATTACTGAACTGCTGCCATCTAGTGTAGAAAACACACAGTTAGAATAGAACATCTGACTGACTCCTCCTCCTCTATACTTCCTTACACTCTTGAAGGAAATGAATCTTATATTGTCACTCTGATCTTTCTTCATTCTGCACTCACTTCACTCAGAGACACCAATGAGGAGCTTTATACAGTGACTGTGTTTGTTTGTGATTCTGAAAGGAGCTAAAACTCACTCAGTGGGTTGAAGGGCTGCGGTGGCTGATTCTCAACTGTGCTGCTCTGATCATTACAGACGTCCTAAAAGTGAAAGTGGAGTTTGGACTAAAGGAGCCGTTACAGAGAAACAGCACAGCAGCAGTTGGAGGAAATGGCTGCTAGAAACCCTCTTTCAGAAGAAGAGCTTTCATGTCCTGTGTGCTGTGAAATCTTCAGGGATCCTGTTTTTCTGTCGTGCAGCCACAGTGTGTGTAAAACCTGCCTGCAGAAGTTCTGGGAAATTAAGGGATCTCGAGAATGTCCAGTTTGTAGAAGAAGATCCTCTAAAGCTGATCCTCCCTGTAATCTTGTACTGAAGTATGTGTGTGAGGCTCTTCTAGAGAGCAGGAGTCAGAGATCTTCAGCAGGGTCTGAGGTGCTCTGCATTCTGCACAATGAGAAACTCAAACTCTTCTGTCTGGATGATCAGCAGCCTGTGTGTGTGGTGTGTCAGACTTCGAAGAAACACAAAAATCATGACTTCTGTCCAGTAGATGAAGCTGTGACTGACTTTAAGGTAGGAAATTTGTTCAAGTATTTTGCTGTCTAAAATGTAACTTAGTATCAGATTATGTGTATTGAAGGTGAGGTCAGTCAGTGGGTGTGGTTTCAGGTCAAACAGCAAACAGCATGAATGAAATATCAGTCAGAAAAATGCACTGGTGCTGAATTCATTACGACTGTCAATGTAAAATGTAAACTTTCAATGCAGAAATGTTACTGTACAAAAAATGAAAAATATCTCTTCTGATTTTGAGGCAGAAAGTAAAACTACTATTATTCAAACTACTATTATTATTCCTTCAAACTGTAGTCTGTAGGAGAACTGTTGGATTTAAATAGTTTAATTGATCTCATATTGTAAAGTGTGGGGAAGACACTAATCTAAACTGCTGTTTAATTGCAGAATAAACTCAAGTCTGCTTTGGAGCCTCTACAGAAGAATCTGAAAGTCTTAGAGGAAGCTAAACAAGACTATGACCAAACAGCAGCTCACATTAAGGTGAAACATCATCTTGAATTGTGAAACATGTTGCTGAGGTCATGTTTCTGATGAGTGTCCACTTCTCCTGTAGGTGGTAAATGCTTGTAGATCATCTGTTAGAGTTTGTGTTTCCTAATGGTCTCTCATTCCAGACGCAGGCCCAGCACACAGAGAGGCAGATAAAGGAGAAGTTTGAGAAGCTTCACCAGTTTCTAAGAGATGAAGAAGCAGCAAGGATAGCTGCACTGAAGGAGGAAGAGGAGCAGAAGAGTCAGATGATGAGGAGGAAGATTGAGGAGATGAATGGAGAAATATCATCTCTTTCAGACACAATCAGAAACATAAAGAAGGAAATGGAAGCTGAGGACATTCTGTTCTTACAGGTAAGATATTCTTTCTTTCTTTCCTTCTTTTTTCATTTTTTCTGTCACTTATACATAAAAAACTACTACTTCTAGCTTTATATTTCCGACACGATTGTTTTAGAAAAGAAAATGTGAGTTATTTTAGTGTCAAAGTGGAGGATCACTATGATGATCTCTACAATCACAGCGGTCCACCATGTGAGGGTTGGGTACTGTGTGCATACACCACATACTTTTATATGATGCACAGCAACATAAATAACATAAATAGTCCCTTCTTCAGAGGCCAAGGACGTTGCATGATTCTCCTGGTGTGGCTGTCAACATGGCCACACATTGTGGTCTTCCAGAGGCCACTGCCAGCCTGTAGTGGTACACTTCAATACTCTACATTACATAGACTATATCAGAACCAAAATAATTTCTTCTGCTAGCCCAGTGGCGTACATATAACATTTTGAGTAGGCCTGTGAAGAAGTGTGCGGACCACAGCCTGACAGCCGTGCAGTCATCATTATATCTTGACGTTTCTGCCATTCACATAAACCAGAACCAACACTGCTACACCACTATAAAGCATGTGTCCACTCACCACAGGCACATTGTTAGTACAGTGAAGATATCTTAACTAAGTTCAAATCAGGCAGCTGAGATATTGAGGAAAAAGAAAACGGCAAACTTAACTTCGGCTAAAGCATACTGCCACTACAGCCATTGAAAAAAAATGTTTATCGACTTTTTATATCTTACCTCTACTGAGTTTGTCTAGAAGTAGACATTTGCTTTGATGTGTGAAACAATGCAATGAAAAATAAACTGCTCGTCGACACCTAAAGATCCCACTAAAAGACTGCTTACGTTAGCTACATCATTTTCTAGTGCTGTTCTGTACAATAATCATAATCATCTGTCTGTAGTCATGCAGACACTTGTGTGCTTGCATAAGCTTCCAAGAAGCCAAGGTATCTTTGAGCCCCAGGATTATTACTTCAGCAGTGTGGTCGTCAGGGAAGTAGCATATCTGGAGGCTGCCACACCTTGCTTTGAGGTGAGGGTAGATATGCTCTGACAAGGTTGTGTAAGAAAAAGTGATGGCAAACCACAATAGCACATTCAGTGCAAGGGTGTTTATTTAGTGAAAGGTCGGCGGGGCAATAATATCCAAGTGTTTACATCATTACCTGCCAGAGGGCGTCTCTCAAGCCTGAAACAGTAGATAGGCTTGTGTTCTTTTCAAGAATCCTGTAAAGAACTACTTTACGTGACCATGATTTTCATATTATGCACTTTTCCTAAACTGAAATGTGAGGAGATTAAGCTTGCACATTATTTAAAGTGAGAGTTGCTTGTGAACTTGAAGGAAGTTGCTTGTCATTCTTGAAAGAAAAAGGTTATAAAAACTTTTTCAGACAAATTCTAGATATTTAAATGTAACCATTATGTGCACAATTTAGTCATTATAAACAGAGCTGTTTGTTACTTTTTTTGCACATTTACAGTCCATACCAATATAAAAAATTTTGATTTAAATTGTTTTTCAAATGCATTCTGTAGGGACTAAAAATTGTGATTGACAGTTGTTAAACATTTGAAAAGATTATTTATTTTTTTTTTTTCCAATATTGCCCTTCTCTAGTGGTAAGCACTATGGAGGAAATGGCAGCTGCTATTTTTTACCACCCACCCTGATGGCTCTAGGTTATGTTAATACGAAGCTTTAATTGTCTCTTCCACAAGATGATCAGCAAACAGAAACAGGCTTTGAATATGTGTGTTTGGGTGTGTAGAGGTGTGTGTGGTTCCTGTAAATCAGAAAACAAACAAAAAGCTAGGCTGTATAACATGCTATTTGCTCAGATTAATAATTCATACAGGACTAAATGTTAATAAAACGATTTAGACAATTTAAAGAGTTCTCTTGTACTGGTTCTGTCAATAATCAGTGCTGAAATATAAAGTGAAAGGTGGATTTGGTACTACAAGGCAGATTCCAACAGAGGGCGCTCTAAGCACACACAGCGATGACACTCTTGGCAAACTGAGTCATTAACTGAAGACTAGCTTGTCTGTTAGCATATTGCTAATATAGTAACACTCAGATGTGAACAGTGTCTCCCAGAAAAGGAACTTAAACTGTAGCAAAAACGAACAGCAGTAAAATAAACCAAATAACTGACACTGTAATCTGCACAACTGTTAGCAAAGTCAATGAGAGCTGAAGTAGAATTACCAACATCACACTAATTAACATTGACTTTAGCAGAGTCAGCACATTTCTCAGTAAACAACACAAGAAGCCACATAAATGATTATAACAGTTTCATTAATGCACACAGAGACCACAACACAAAGTAGAGTACAGTAGTGAGCTCTGCTGGGAGGAAACTCCTGTTGAAGAGCCAAATATCTTTATTTGTTTACCTGTTTACTAAATGAAGACAAAAGAAATGAGCAGATCTTCTGACTCTGTATCTGATCATCAGTGGAGCCTCTCCTGGATCCTCTGAACATTCCGGCTCTGCCGCCTCATCATCTTGCTGTGTTAGTTTGGCTCTGGTTCTGTTGTTGGTGGTTCTCCTGTAATTCTTAGCTGTGTTTCCAAGTGAACCTCATTAGATCTTCACCTGCATTTGTTTGTTGATGACTGGTTGATGGATTTGTTTGCATTTTGCTCATCGGTCTAGTTTGTGATCCCTGCCTCTCAAAATTCATCCAGTCAAACTACTTTATCAACATCTGACTGATTAGATTAATTTATAAATAACAAACATAATGAGTGAGAAAGTAGTTATTTAGAATGTAAAATTTTATTGAATATTAAATGATAGATAATGTCACTAACTTGGCTGTTTGCTGGTGTTTGTGTGTTTCATATGAAAAACACCTGAAAAGTCTCTTCACTTTTAGCTACAATGTTCTTTTTGTTTCCCTCTCAGAACTTCAAGTTTACAGAGAAACAGTGAGTAAATGTCAGATCACACATTTTATCTAATGTTAAAGTCATTAATACATTTAAATCTACAGTATATTGTATTTATTGTAAATATGACTGTATTATAATGAAATGAAGGTGAATAAGGATTGTGTGTTAATGTTGTAGTGATGAGAACAGTAGCAGAAATATTTATTTAACAGAAACAACAGAATTATTGACTCCAGACAATAAATGTCATAAAATATTGATATTTAGTCAAATAAATTACAGGCTGTAAAGTTTCTACAGTGATATATTTGACACAATCTTCTATTTTCAGAGCTCAGCTCAAATCAAAGGATCCAGAGAAGACATCAGGAGCTCTGATCAAAGTAGTGAAACACCTTTCCAACCTGAAGTTCAGAGTGTGGGAGAACATGCAGGAGATTCTCCAGTACAGTAAGTTCTGTTTCTCTTAGGGTTGATCTCTCACACACAGTCTGCTTCTGCACTAATGACACACTGTTTATAAACTATTAGTAACATGTTATCATGTTCTCTTTATTCAGGGTGTAAAAAGGACACTGAAACTGTACTCAAAGTACAGTATGAATGCAGTACTCTGTAGAAATCTCACTCAAAAGTGGAGTATGGAGATAAAAATATACTCGAATGAAAGAAAGAAGAATCAGTCTTTAGACTCACTCAAATAAATCAAACTGAAATGAAAATGGATTAATTTTTTTACATTTAAGTATAATTTTTCAAATAACTTATAGTTACTGTAATTGTGTTATTAATTCGGGTACAAGAGAAATGATATATTGAAATTGAGGCAAATCTCAATTTGTGTCTTAATGATAAAATAGAAACACTTAAAATACCAATTTTATACATTACTTAAAAAGTATGTGATTAAATTGTTTACATAATAATATTAGGGTCATTTATTTTTTGTTATTATTATTATTATTATTATTATTATTATTATTATCATTAATTGTAGTAGTAGTAGTAAATGATTGTTGGTCATGACAAACAGGTCAGATGAGGATGTACAAACTCATCTTCAGCTCTAAATGTTCTAGATTCTAGATAACGATCACTACAGCTAGCATGTAATGCGACTGTCAGCTAGTCATGGAAAATCCAGTGAACAACTTTATGAATTTATGATAAAAAAAATATTAAATTAATAATATATTTGAGTCAGTTTTCCAAAGTGGGCTTTTGTCCAGTGCCTGCGGTTAGTTCATACGCCAACTTTTTCCAGTTCAGAATAAAAAAAAAAAAAAAAAAACTTTCTTTCCATGCAAAACATAATGAACTGTTTTCTGCAAAGATCGCTATAATCATATGTTTAGTTTTTATCCATCAGGAATCAGTATCAAGTCAGTGAGTGTGAAAATGTTCATGGATATTCAGCTCTGTGAGTGAATCACTACAGAAAAATGCTGCACTCAGATTAGATCTGTCACTGGACTATAATGACCATTCACTACTGAACATACACTTTAGTGCTGCACTGAACTGAACATCAACATTTAGTCCAGGATTAAAGTTGATCTGTGTTCTGGAATCGACCTCTAAAGCTGTTTTACTCACAGTAAAGAAAATAGTCTGTAGAGGTAAAACATTTACAGAAATGAGAGAAAAACATGATGTTTGATTGTGTTCTCTCTCCTCAGCCCCTGTTACTCTGGACCCCAACACTGCACATCCAAAACTCCACCTGTCTGATGATCTCACTACTGTAGAAAACAGGAAACAGAGATCATCACTTCCCGATAATCCAGAGAGATTTGATGATTTTCTGTGTGTTCTGGGTTCTGAGGGTTTTAACTCAGGGACACACTGCTGGGACGTCCAGGTTGGAGACAGTGATAACTGGTCACTGGGTGTGATACCAGAGTCTGCAACAAGAAAAGGAGACTCTTTCTGGGATTCAATGTGGAGGCTGAGCTACAATAAAAGCCAAGATGAATATTGGACACGCTGCCAAGGAAAACCAGCTCACTACCTCAAACCTAAAGTTAAGCTGCAGAGGGTCAGAGTGCAGCTGGACTGGAACAGGGGGAAAGTGACCTTCACTGATCTTCTAACCAACACACACCTGCACACTATAACACACACTTTCACTGAGAGAGTTTTACCATTTTTCTGTAATGTGTCTGTTCATCCTCTGAGGATCTTACCAGTGAAGACGTCAGTAACAGTGGAACAGCACAGTTAAAGTTGATGCTGCTTAGAATGAACATTTATACAGGTAGTGAGTGTCTGAATTATGATCATAAGAATATGTCACTACATTACTTGGGTTAAATATTGGGGGATTTTGAATGTGTGTCCTGATGTGTTGACAGTGTTTAATGGGTGTTGCAGTAAGAGCAGGATCCGTGGGTGAACACTGTAAATGATGAATCATTTGTGTGGTTTTGGTTTTCAGACTCTTTAGTGATAAAGTAGATGATGTGAATTCATTCTGCTGTCGTCTCTTAATATTCTGATCAGATCACATGGCGGGAAAATGGACTGTGATCTGCTCATAATGTTAATTTATATCATTATTCAGTTCAACATTCTGCTGCAGACAGATTTCCCAGCTGCTCCACCAGCTTGAAACTCTCAGCCAATCACAGTCAGAGTCTGTTGAGGAGAACCAGATAGAGCCGCTCTTTAAGATTGTACTTTATTGAGGAAAGTGGCACTTTCATAGGATGCCACCTCTGCCACAACTCAGTTAGTGAAATTTCTGTCCTGCTAGATCTGCCCCTGTGAACTGTAAGTGCTATTATTGTGAAATGGAAGCATCTAGGAGCAACAACAGCTTACCCACAAAGCGGTGGACCATGCAAAATCACAGAGTGGAGTTGCCAAGTGCTGAAGCGCATAGTGCCTGTTTTCGGTTGAATCACTCACTAAAGAGTTCCAAACTGCTTTTGGAAGCAACATCAGCAAAAGAACTACATGTTGGGAGCTTCACGAAATGGGTTTTCCTGGCCAAGCAGCTACACAGAAACCTGAGATCAAAATGCACAATGTCAAACATTGGGGGGAGTGGCATAAAGCACACAGCCACTGGACTCTGGAGCAGTAGAAACATATTCTATTCATGCTTCTCTATCTGTCAGTCTGATGGACGAGTCTGGATTTGGCAAATTCCAGGAGAACATTACCTGCCTGACTGCACTGTGCTAACTGTAAAGTTTGGTGGAGGAGGAATGATGCTATGGGGCTGTTTTAGTTAGTTAGTTCCAGTGAAGGGAAATCATAATGCTTCAGCAGACAAAATACATTTTGGACAATTGTACACTTCCAGCTTTGTGGGAACAGTTTGGTGAAGGCCCTTTTCTGTTCCAGCATGACTGAGCCCCAGTGCACAAGCAAGGTCCATAAAGGCCTGGCTGGGTGAGTTTGGTGTGGAAGATCTTGACTGGCCCTCAAAAAGCCCTGTCCTCAACCCATCCAACACCTTTGGGATGAACAAGAACAGAGATTGTGAGCCAGGCCCTCTCGTCCAATACCATTGCCTGACCTCACAAATGCTCTTCTGGATGAATGAGCAAATATTCCCACAGACAGACTTCAAAATTTTGTAGAAAACTTCCCAGAAGAGTGGAAGCCGTTATATCTGCAAAGGGGGGACCACCTCCATATAATACCTGTGGATTTAGAATGGCATGCCATAAAAGCTCCTGTAGGTGTAATCTGTATGTGTTCCAATACTATTGTCCATATAGTGCACACTCATAAGATGATTTATTTCACTTTCAGACTTTTTTCTGCTGCCACATTACATTTAAAAAGTAGTCCAAACAAAAACGCACCTGCCACGGTATAAAATCTGCACTTTCAGACTAGCCGGATTTGTTGGGAAAAACGTGAATCTGGTAGCCCTGCGTGACGGACAAAGAAGCCATGGGAGAAACAGAAAACAACTCAGTGTTTCTGGTTGCCATAGCGACCCTGCATGCTTATAGCTCCTACTGTTAACTTTTCCCAGTTTTGCGCAGGATTGTGGAGGGGTCGTCCCCCCTTCTTTCATCCTAACATGTCTGTGTGGAAATAAAATGCTGGTTTAAAGTGTCATAGAGTGACTCCTGATATCATTACAACATTATTTGACATCAAAACGTCATAACGTTATTCTCATAAACGTTATTTGAGTGAGATTTCACTCCTTTTCAGTGTAGACTTTATTTCTCTATCATCCTGCATTTTTCTCCATCATTAGATCTTTAAAACTCTGCTTTGGTTCAGAGATTAATAGTTTACTGTGTGAAATAAACTGCATTATATTACAAACCGTACAGCTGAATGCATGTTGGGTTTTGAATATTATCCCACAGCATGCTGTAATGCTACAGCAGGTTAATTTTTTCATCACTGTATTTACTTCAGTGTTTTTTTTATTTATATATGTGTTGGTGTGGGTATGTAACACCATACATATGGGTATGTATGGGAGGGAAGGAGTTCAGTGTGGGGGGTGGGGGGGGGCATTTTCTTGTATCACTGTACATCTTGTTTTCTGTTTAGTATTCAAAATAAAAAAAGCTATTCACACACAATAAATGGTTGAGACTGTCTCTCTCGTTTCTACCATCACTAATTTAAAGCCTGGATCCTCTTGGTCTGCTGGAAAATGCTTAAAAAAAAAACACTGTAAAATCTTTATTATTGGTCTGAAAGGATGATCATGCTCTTATGCTCTGATCTAGTCCAGAAACTGAGGCTATTTTGATGAAGTTCAGGTACCACTGCTGTCTGGAGTCTCTGATCCAGGAGGAATGCTTGGTTAGATGATGTGGTAGATGTATTAGGATTTACAAACAAGCATAAGTAAATAAATAAATAAATAAATAAATAATCCCCTCCCCAGATTAAGAGCTATCTGAGTGCTTCTCAGATGTTCCACACATGTTATCAATTATCTTACCTGCATGTGCCACTCACCGTCCTGTTGAGATGTAAAGCCTCACTTGGATGCCAAAGTGTTTGGGCTGGTGTCTGCTGATCCCTGCACAAACTCCTCATCAGTTCTAAACATTACACACCTGCCTTGCACTGAGTTTCTCATCTGTTCATGTTAACATGTTGTGCCTTCATTGCTTAAGTAATTGGGGTTAGTGGGAGAGATACTGTATAAAGTTCTCCATTCTGGTTATGAATTATGTGAAATCCCAAGGTTAAACAATTACAGTGTCAGAAGATAAAATCCTGCAGTGAACACTGCGTTGGCTCATCTGGATCATCACCTCACTGATCACTCTTCCTATGAGCTGAATGAACAGAGGACATGATGATGAAAAACATTAGAACAGGACAAACTGATTGCAAAACGCTTACAGTCTAAATGAGGCTATAACGTTACCTTGAACCATGTAACAGAACTACATCTGACCATCAGTGAGGTGGGAGCTACAAATGCAAAGAAAAAAAACAAAAGAAAGAGACTGTAGAACATGTTCTTATACTGAAATCATAAATGTTGCATAACATAAGCATAAGGAAAAACATAAAGAGTAATTGTAGCACCGTTCACTAAATTCTCATAAATGAAAAACACCTACAAACAACTGTTTGGTTACTGTCTGTTACTATTGTTATTATTATTATAATGATTATTATTGCTGTTGTTTTTCTACTTGCTAATACATATTATTAACTTGTTTACAGGATTGCAAGAATCTATTAATTTATATATTTTAATTTATGCTTTTTAATTACCCTTGAAATGTTACAGTATCAAACATCACTTCTAAACAACTATTGTCACAACAAGAAGCATAAAATGCTAATCCAGTGGATCCTGCCAGATCTGGCAACCCTACCAGGTTGCTTAGTCTGTTTGAAGTGTCAGTAATGAGCAGAACACTTTCCACCCCAATTCTGCAGCTCCTAAATATGATGCAAAATTCTATGAGGTTCAGGTCTGTACTTGAAGAACTCATGAAGTGGACAAGAATATTGTAAAAAAAAAGTCTATTAGTTATTTACAGAAGGAGCCAATTGTCACGAGAAATAACTAGACAGGCCTCTGTGTGTGAGCTGCTTTCCTGCTTGGACACAGGAAGTGTAGAGCTTCTGCTGAAAGAGAGTGAGTGTGGATGGGAACAGTAGCCTTCCTGTCTCAAGCTCCATGTTAAAAAATGAGCAACCAGTATTTACTGCAGTGATTCATAAACTGTGCCCTGAATGTGGATGTGATCGTGCTGGTCCACCACATAATGGGGAAAGTGTACCAGATGGGGTGACTAGATGTCTCCAGGGACAGTCCCTGTTTTTTGTGGCCTGTCCCCAGAAATGTCCCACTTTTTAAGTGTGAATTAAAAAGCCTCTAAAAGGCTTCAGAAAGACCTGCCGCAGAGCAGACAGGCAGACATCGCATGTTGTGCTTGTTTTGGCCAGCAGAGGGGGCTGCTGTTAAAAACTAACTAACCACTTCTACCACTTGCTCGCCTAGTTTTAGAGAAGACTGCTGTGTAAAACTCGACCCGAAGCTAGCAAGTGTCAAGTGAGCCCACAACATCACCCGGGATAAAAAGCAGGGGGGTTATGGGACTTGAATTGTATTATCAGGTATAGGCATACAATGTACTTCAATGTAGTTACCATGCGATCTACAAATAGTTCAACATTTTTTTAAACTGTGTCACTTTTTCAGCCAAACCTACTGATACTGGCCATATCTGTCTCTGCAGAACTGGAGCTGCCCAGGGATGTGTTTAGGGTCCAGCTATTGGGCTATAGCCACATGTATTTTTTCTGTAGCCATGGGTCTCTTTTTACTGCCAAAATATTTAAAAATCGAATTTGTCTGCAGATTTTAATAAACAATTTATATTTATTTGCATTTATTAATAAATGATTTCAGTTTTTTAAATGATTTTAACACAGGAGCAGCTGCAGCTAGGGCTGGAGTTTCAAGGGAGGTTTGAATACCGAACAAAGCAAAACCTCCTGAACTCGTCAGAGCTGACTTTCTCAAAATCATCTTAGCACAAAGCTGACTCTTAAATGGTAGAGCAAGCATCACAGCGAACACTGTCTCTACCAGTTAAAATAATCTTAAAACTAAGATGCCTTTGGTGAACTGGGACCAGATCAGTTCCTTCATTCTTTGTCAGCACTGAGGAGAGAGAGATCTCTGTAGGCGATTAGGAGAATCGGCAGCTGCAGAGGTGACAGATCTCCACTGTAAAACCATCATATTATAATACATAATGTTGGCCTATTTGTAAATGGACAGGTATTTCTGGACAGCAGGATAGAACTGAAAGGGAAGTGATCTAAGGATCCAAACCGCCAGCTATTTATAGCTGTCATGCTCAGACTCCACTAATCAGCAGGAACTATAATAATAATAAGTAGTGGAAGAAGATCACAAACAACAAAACAGCTGCAACAATAAAAATGGCAATAACCTGTAGTGAACTTTTTCATGTCACTATTCACTATTTTGTGTCACTATTTCATTGTGCATGAAATTAGGAGGAAATATGAGGTAAAAGGTATTTACAATATATAATCAGTCTTTCCTCATAGTTTACATGTTTAATTGTAAGAGCTGGATTCTGTTTGCTGAAATGAACTAATCATTCAGAAACCTTGACTCATCTGAGAGCTCCTTGTTTCAGGTTATTAATGAACTGCTGCCATCTAGTGTAGAAAACACAGTTAGAATAGATCATCTGACTGACTCCTCCTTTTTCAAAGCTCCTCCTTCTCTACACTTCCTTACATTTGTTGGAGGAAGTGAATTTTATCCCGTCACTCTGATCTTTCTTCACTCTACATTCACTTCACCAATGAGGAGCTTTTAAACAGTGACTGTATGTGTTTGTTTCTTGATGTGTGATTCTGAAAGGAGCTAAAACTCACTCAGTGGGTTGAAGGGCTACGGTGGCTGATTCTCAACTGTGCTGCTCTGATCATTACAGACGTCCTAAAAGTGAAAGTGGAGTTTGGACTAAAGGAGCCGTTACAGAGAAACAGCACAGCAGCAGTTGGAGGAAATGGCTGCTAGAAACCCTCTTTCAGAAGAAGACTTTTCGTGTCCTGTGTGCTGTGAAATCTTCAGGGATCCTGTTTTTCTGTCGTGCAGCCACAGTGTGTGTAAAACCTGCCTGCAGAAGTTCTGGGAAACTAAGGAGTCTCAAGAATGTCCAGTTTGTAGAAGAAGATCCTCTACAGATAACCCTCCCTGTAATTTTACACTGAAGAACCTTTGTGAGGCTCTTCTAGGGAGCAGGAGTCAGAGATCTTCAGCAGGGTCTGAGGTGCTCTGCATTCTGCACAACGAGGAACTCAAACTCTTCTGTTTGGATGATCAACAGCCTGTGTGTGTGGCGTGTCAGACTTCATCGAAACACGAAAATCATAATTGCTGTCGAATAGATGAAGCTGTGCCTGACTTTAAGGTAGGAAACTTGTTCTAGTATGTTGATGCCTAAAACGTAACTCAACTAAAATGTGTGAAATCTTTCTCAGTTTAGAACGAAATTAATCTGTTATGTATATTGAAAGTAAGGTCGGTCAGTGGGTGTGGTTTTAGGCCAAACTGCAAACAACACAAGTGGAATATCAGTCAGAAAAATGCCCTGTTGCTGAATTCATTATAATTGCCTACGTTAAATGTAAGCTTGCAATATAGAATTCTTACTCTGCACTGGAGGAAAAGAAAAAAGTCTTGCAAAAAAGAGATTTAAACTGCAATTCTTCTCTCTCTAACTACATTCTGCAGGGCAACGTTTACATTTAAATAGTTAAATTGTTCATATATTGTAAAGTGTGGAGAACGCTCTCAGCTAAACTGTTGTTTAATTGCAGAATAAACTCAAGACTGCTTTGGAGCCTCTACAGAAGAATCTGAGAGTCTTAGAGGAAACTAAACAAGACTATGACCGAACAGCAGCTCACATTAAGGTGAAACATCATCTCGGATTGTGAAACATGGTTCTAAGGTCATGTTTCTGTTGAATGTCCACTTCTCCTGTAGGTGGTACAGTGGTGCTTGAAAGTTTGTGAACCCTTTAGAATTTTCTATATTTCTGCATAAATTTAAACTAAAACTTCATCAGATTTTCACACAAGTCCAAATAGTAGATAAAGAGAACCAAATTAAACAAATTAGGCAATAAGATTAGATTTGGTCATTTATTTATTGAGGAAAATGATCCAATATTACATGTGAGTGGCAAAAGTATGTGAACCTTTCAGTTTCTGGTGTGACTCCCTTGTGCAGCAATAACTGTAACTAAATTGTTTCTTGTAACTGTTGATTAGTCCTGCACATCAGCTTGGTGGAATTTTAGCCAGTTCCTCCATACAAAACAGCTTCAACTCTGTTATGTTGGTGGGTTTCCTCCCATGAACTGCTTGCTTCAGGTCCTTCCACAACGTTTCTAGAGGATTAAGGTCATGATTTTGACTTGGCCACTCCAAAACATTAACTTCATTCTTCTTTAACCATTCTTTGGTAAAATGACTTGTGTGCTTAGGGTTGTTATTTTGCTGCATGACCCATGTTCTTTTGAGTTTCAGCTCACAGACAGATGTCCTGACATTTTCCTTGAGAATTTGCTGGTATAATTCAGAGTTTAATGTTCCATCAATGATGGCAAGCTGGCCCAGATGCAGCCAAACAGGCCCAAACCATGATACTGCCACCACCATGTTTCACAGATGGGATAAGGTTTTTATGCTGGAATGCAATGTTTTCCTTTCTCCAAATGTGACATTAATCACTGTTGGCAACAGCCCCTATGTGCTAGTGGGCCCCAGCTTCTACCCTGGAACAATACGTTCCCACAGCAAAACCCAGTCACTTCTAAAGAAGGCACACAGAATACGGTATGGGGCTGATACACTGGACAACTTTACTTAACAACCAGCTCAATAAATAAAAAAATAATAGCAAGACTAATTATTCAATCAACAATTTAAAAATTACACTTTTATATGTAAGACAGTTAACAAGTCTTGACTAGTGAAAAAAAAAGCAGCTTAAACTATGGGCTTAATAAAAAAAAAAGAACAGACTCTGATGCTGTAGGTAAGGCCCAACCCACTATTAACCAAATATACTGTATGCAAAAAAAAAACAAACACACCAACAACACATATAGATATACTACCAAAAAAGTAATTAAATAAATGACCAACTAAAAAAAAATACACAAAAAATAGATACACTTACTCCAAATTGTGACTCACTAACTAAATTAGTGGGATAAGAAGCCAACCAATTGAGACAGAATTCTGTTAATTTAAAACAGCCTTAAGCGTTTAGGTGCATTCTTTCAGGAGCACACCCTGGTTGAGAAGATGCAACTGACTGGAGCACCTATAGTCTCACTAATCAGTCTGAAACTAAAGAAAAGAAAATCAGGAGGGAACACTAAAACCCCACTAAGGAGGGACACTAATGAGAAAAAGCTAAGGAGGAAAAAATAAGTTTTTAATTTTTTTTTTAAATTTCAAGTTTTAACCAGGTACTACCCATAAAATTATAGAATGGTCAATAGGCGTTTTTACCCGCACAGTAGTATACAAACACACACCACTTGTTCCTAGATCACCCACGTTCACTCTAAATAAATAAAAACACACTTTAATATTTGAGCTAGAACTTGGAAAGCAGCCACCCTCACTACTGCAATGAACTATTGCTACCAATATGCTATTTTCCCAATATGTTACAGAGCATCAACACTATTAGCCCCCCCCCGGGTTCCTCTGTGACATTGCAGACTATTGCACACCTTGACCTTGGTGTGATCTTTGTTGGTTGACCACTCCTGGGGAGCATAACATAGGTCTTGAATTTCCTCCATTTGTACACAATCTGCCTGAATGTGGATTGGTGGAGAGCAAATTTTCAAGTTTGTGCCGTGATACACTTCCATAAATATGTGTTGGGAAGATCACCTGAAGGTCAATCCTAGCAAGGCTGAGCTGCTATTCATCCCTGGAACTCCAGGTCCTAATCATGATTTTCCCATTTCATTCGAAAACTCTCTGATTGTTCTGTCTGAAGATGAAGAAGCCTTGGTGTGATTCTGGATGGCCAGTTATCGTTTACAGCTCATATTGTGAACCTGACTTGGTCATGCAAGTTTCTTCTTTACAACATCCGGAGGATCCGACCCTTTCTCACTCAAGAGGCCACCCAGGTGCTAGTTCAGTCTCTTTCCACCTCAAGGCTTGACTACTGCAACTCGCTCTTGGCTGGGCTTCCAATGCAGGCCATTAAGCCCCTGCAACTCATCCAGAATTCAGCAGCATGGCTTGTCTTCAATCTTTCTTCAGTCAAGTTTGGTCACGTCACTCCACTGTTGCGCTCCTTTCACTGGCTTCCTGTAGCTGCATGTATCAGATTTAAAACCCTGATGCTTGCCTACAAAGCCAATAACGGACCAGCCCCTCCCTGCCTAATGGCAAAGGTCAAAACTCGAACTGTACCTTGAGCCCTTCAAGATTCAAGTACAGCTCAGCTTGACCTGCCATCCTTCAAGACGTGTGGAAGACAAGCATCAAGACTTTTCGCTGTACTGGCACCAAGGTGGTGGAACGAACTCCCACTGGCTGTCCGAACAGCAGAGTCTCTTGCGGTCTTCAAACACATCTCTTTTTACAGCACTTAAGTGAGCACTAAGTTAAGTACTTAAATGTTTTGTATTGTGCTATGTTTAACTCTGTTTCGTTTCTCTAGGTATCAACATGGGCTTTTGTTTCTAACACTATCTGTTCTCAGGACTCGTTTTCTCTCTAACCTGTTTGTAATTAGTAAAGATAATTATCAACAAAGCACTTTTGTAAGTTGCACTGGAAAACAGCGTCTGCTAAATGCTGCAAATCGCTGTTGTCGGAACAAAACCACCATCTCCATTTTGGTGATTTTTCAGTTTCGGTCATAATTTGAAAATTACTTTTGTCTTTTACACTGTGTGTAAATTTCATGATGAATGGACCAAAAGAAATGACCCAAAATTACTAGGAAAAAAGTCTGGTTCCATAGACTTACATTGAAAATAAAGAAGGTTTTTCCTTTTCCTGTAAAGCTGCAATTTTGGAGATTTTGTTCCGACAACAGCGAAATGTAAATGTAAAAGCTTGTAGATCATCTGTTAGAGTTTGTGTTTCCTAATGGTCTCTCATTCCAGACGCAGGCCCAGCACACAGAGAGGCAGATAAAGGAGGAGTTTGAGAAGCTTCACCAGTTTCTAAGAGATGAAGAAGCAGCAAGGATAGCTGCACTGAAGGAGGAAGAGGAGCAGAAGAGTCAGATGATGATGAGGAAGATTGAGGAGATAAATGGAGAAATATCATCTCTTTCAGACACAATCAGAAACATAGAGAAGGAAATGGAAGCTGAGGACGTTCTGTTCTTACAGGTAAGAATCTTTCTTTCTTTCTTACTACATTGAATTCCATTATTTTTATCACTTTTTCAGGTGAAAATTTGCACAGAAAAGCTATTGTTTCCATCTCACTCTCTCATCAGCCAAGTGCACTGATATGCTGCATTATTTAAAGGTGGAAAGCGGCTCGTGCACATGGAAATTTGTGTGTTTGGGTGTGTAAAGGTGTCTGTGTGGTTTCTGTAAATCAGGAGACATAAAGCACATTGGCTACATAACATGCTATTTGCTTAATTATACTTTTCTAAATGTTACTGTAACAGGCTGGATAATATGAGTTATCCTGAACTAGTTCTATTAATAATCAGTGCTGAGATATAAAGTGAAAGGTGCATTTGGTACTACAGTGCAGATTCCAACAGAGGGCGCTCTAAACACACACAGTGATAACACACTTGGCTAACTGAGTCATTAACTGAAGACTAGCTTGTCTGTTAGCATATTGCTAATATAGTAACACTCAGATGTGAACAGTGTCTCCCAGAAAAGGAACTTAAACTGTAGCAAAAATAAGCAACAGTAAAATAAACCAAATGACTGACACTATAACCCGCAGTTAACAAACTATTAGCGTATTCAGCGAGAGCAAACCTCTATTCTTGCTTTAAGCTTTCAGTGCTATCTAACATACCAGGTTTTGCTGATTAAGTTTCCAGGGCATTGATTCAGTCTGCTAAACAATAACAAGAGTTTCAACAGTCAGATGTTTGTTTGGGGTGTGTTTCATATGAAAAACTGTTCTTTCTGTTTTCCTCTCAGAACTTCAAGTCTACAGAGAAACAGTAAGTAAATGTCAGACCACACATTTTATCTAATGTTAAAGTCATTATTACATTTAAATCTACAGTATATTGTATTTATTGTAAATATGAGTGTATTATAATGAAATGAAGGTGAATAAGGATTGTGTGTTAATGTTGTAGTGATGAGAACAGTAGCAGAAATATTTATTTAACAGAAACAACAGAATTATTGACTCCAGACAATAAAAATCATAAAATATTGATATTTAGTCAAATAAATTACAGGCTGTAAAGTTTCTACAGTGATATATTTCACACAATCTTCTATTTTCAGAGCTCAGCTCACACCAAAGGATCCAGAGAAGACATCAGGAGCTCTGATCAATGTAGTGAAACACCTTTCCAACCTGAAGTTCAGAGTGTGGGAGAACATGCAGGAGATTCTCCAGTACAGTAAGTTCTGTTTCTCTTAGGGTTGATCTCTCACACACAGTCTGCTTCTGCACTAATGAGACACTCTTTATAAACTATTAGTAACATGTTATCATGTTCTCTTTATTCAGGGTGTAAAAAGGACACTGAAACTGTACTTAAGTGAAAGTATGAATACTGTACTGTGCAGAAATCTCACTCAGACAAAATGTGAAATATGGAGATAAAAATATACTTTAGTGTAATAAAAAATATATATTTAGTGCTGCACTGAACTGAACATCAAAATTTTAGTCCAGGATTAAAGTTGATCTGTGTTCTGGAATCGACCTCTAAAGCTGTTTTACTCACAGTAAAGAAAATAGTCTGTAGAGGTAAAACATTTACAGAAATGAGAGAAAAACATGATGTTTCATTGTGTTCTCTCTCCTCAGCCCCTGTTACTCTGGACCCCAACACTGCACATCCACACCTCCACCTGTCTGATGATCTCACTGCTGTAGAAAAGACAGACCAGAGGTCATCACTTCCTGATAATCCAGAGAGATTTGATAAGTGGGATTGTGTTCTGGGTTCTGAGGGTTTTAACTCAGGGACACACTGCTGGGACGTCCAGGTTGGAGACAGTCATCGTTGGGAGCTGGGTGTGATAACAGAGCCTGAAACAAGAAAAGGACACTTTTTTTGGGATTCAGCGTTGAGTCTTAACTACAATAAAAATATTAATAAATACTGGATACAGTGCCCAGGACAGCCACCTCACAATCTTAGACCTACAGAGAGGCTGCAGAGGGTCAGAGTGCAGCTGGACTGGGACAGGGGGGAAGTGACCTTCACTGATCTTCTAACCAACACACACCTGCACACTATAACACACACTTTCACCGAGAGTGTTTTTCCTGCTTTCTGTAATACATCCGTTCATCCTCTGAGGATCTTACCAGTGAAGACATCAGTAATAGTGGGGCTTTTCTGAAAAAGACATAATCTGGATGGCAGCATATGTTGCCCCAAAACCTGTATATATTGTTCAGCATTAATGGTGCCTTCACAGTTGTGCCAGTCACTCATGCCATGTACACTAATGCAACCGCATACCATCATGGATACTGGCTTTTTAACTGTGCGCTGATAACAAACCGGACTGTCCTCTGTCCTCTCTAGCCTGAAGGATGTGGCATACAATATTTTAGGAAAAAAAAAATAAATAAAAAAAAAAAATGATTACTTGGACCACAGGACACCTTTCCACTCTGCCTCAGTCCATTTTCGGCTCAGGCCCAGAGAAGGCAGCAGCATTTCTGGATCCTGTTTATATATAGTCTCTTCTTTGCATTGTAGAGTTTTAACTTGCATTTGTGGATGCAGCGATGAACTGCGTATTTCCACTACAGAATTGTGCTTGTTTTCAATGCATTGCTACTTGAGGGCCCAAAGATCACAGCATGCCAATATTGGTTTTTAGCTTTGTACCTTGCATGCAGAGAATCATTTAATGTTATTATGCACTGTAGATGATGAAACCAAGTTCTTTGCTATTTTATGTTGTGAAACCTTATTCTTTAGTTGTTGCACTGTTTGATTGTGCAGTCTTTCACAGAGTGGTGAACCCCTCCTCATCTTTACTTCAGAAAGACTCAGCCTCTCTGGGATGCTCTTTTTATCCCCAAAGCATGTTACTGATCTGTTGCCAATTAACCTAATTAGTTGATATATATTCCACCAGGTGTTTTATTTTTGGTAGTTCACAACTTTCCCAGTTTTTGTTGCCCCTGTTCCAACTTTTTGATATGTATTGCTGGCATCAAATTCAAAATGGGCATATATTTTTTCAAAAAACACTACAATTTCTTAGTTTCAGCATTTGATATGTTGTCTTTGTACTGTTTTCTTCAAATTTTGAGTTTAAATGATTTGCACATCATCACATACCGTTTGTATTTACATTTTGCACAGCATCCCAACTTTTGGAAACAAGGTTATTTTAAATACTAGTATATTTTAAATAAAAGTATATTTGAAATAATGTATTTGGAAATTTCCATCCTAACATGTCTGTGTGGAAATAAAATGCTGATTTAAAGTGTCATAGAGTGACTCCTGATATCATTACTGTAATAAAAGAACTGTTAATAATCAATTTTGCAGTATGAACCTGTTTGAAAGATGCACACAGTGGTGTAGGGAAGGCATGAGCTGTGAGTTCGATAGTTTTGAACAGTGATCAATAAGTACAAGTAGTAAGCAAATTGAATTCTTTAATCTATTCTGTATAATTTCCTTAAGAAGGCAGGATAAAACATGGTCGCAGCAGTTAAAATACCGGGAGACACACGCGTTGTGTTGTTAACTTAGCATAGCTCACAACTGGTGGGGCTCACCTACAGAGATACCCAACAGTATCAATGGCCTTTGAAAATGGAAGGGGCTTAAGCCTTGGAAAGAGGAGTTCACCCTATATTTAGATCTTGTCATGCTGGGTGCAGATAAAACCTAATCTCAATAGGAGAGAAAAGTAGAGAGCTGTGACACACCGATGAATGCCAAACATTCTGCAAAGAGAATCATGAGTAAAATGATGATCACTGTAATCTGTAGTGAGATTTTTTGTATGGAACCAGGAAAAGGAAGAATTCATTGACAAATTTGTCACCGACTTGAGGACATTAGCCATCATGTGCAATTTTGGGCCAGTCAAAGATTCACTTATAAGAGATGGGATTGTGTGTGGTACAAATGATACTGCCCTAAGAGAGAGAATTCTCAGGGAAGATAAACTGACGCTGGACAATGTGTACAGCTGTGCAGAGCCACAGAGCTGTCAAAAAAGAACATTAAAACAATTGATGAATGCACATTAGTTAAGAAATGTACAACAAGAAAGACACATGAGAGGAACAAGAAAAAGTGCCAAGCTTTTGGGAAAAAAAATGCAAAAAAGTGTGGGTGAGAAAACCACTTTGCTGCTATGTGCAAGACCAGATCTTAGAGCAGTAAATGCAGGAAACAAGTACAAGTACAACAACAGAGCAGAATAGTGACCTGTATAAGGACATTATAACTGTCACAGCAGTAGAGAAGAAAGTCAGAAACAGTGCACCATGTTAAAGAGAGCACTATGATATAACAGCAGCTTTTTGTGGGAATGCTGGTAGGTAAAGAAATTTCAGATAGATAGTGAAACCTCATGTAACATCATCCCAATACATCTTCTGAAACCAGATACACAGCTAGAGCACACAAAGCGCTAGTGATGTTCAATAAGACTGAGTTACACCCAGTTGGTAAGTGCTTGATTAAAGTAAGAAACCCAAGGGGTCAAAAACTGTACAGATTAGAACTTCAAGGAGGAGAATTTGAAGATGTGTTCACAGGCGATGGCTGCTTGGAAGGGGAATATAGAATTGAAATCAACAAGACAGTAGAGACAGTGAAACTCCGTAAACGCAGAGTCCCACTCTCTATGATGACACCCCTCAAAGAGGAACTTGCAGACCTAGAGAGGAGAGAGATCATAGCACCCATTGACCACACCACGGACTGGATAAGTAGTTTGGTGCCAGTGTCAGAAACCAAATGGCAGATTAAGGATATGCATTGATCCTAGGCCTTTGAACAGACCTCTCAAACGCTGTCATTTTCCCCCTCAAACTATTCAGGATATCTTACTTGATTTGTTAAAAGCAAAAGTTTTCACTGTCTGTAATGCCACAGATGGATTTTGGCATGTGAATTTGGAGGATGAGTCGAGTTATTTTTTATTTTATTTTATGTACATTTTTTAACACCATTTGGTTGATTTCACTAGCTGAAGATGCCAGTGAGAGTCAGTCCAGCGCTGGAGATATTCCGAAGGAAGTTAACGCAGGCACTAGAGGGCTTGCCTGGCATTGTCGTGGATGATGTATTCATCATGGATGAAGAAAGCACAATGAAAGAAATTAAGAAAATTTCTGAATAGGTGCCACAAACAGAACATCGAACTCAATTCAGTTGAGATCAAACTGAAAAGAAAGGAAGTACCATACTTTGGACATCTGCTGACAGCAGAGGGACTGAAAATAGTTCCAGAGAAATAGATCCTGTGCAGTGAGAGAGATGCCCAGGCTGACAGACACTAAAGGAGTGCAGAAAATTGTACGTATGGTCTTATCTGTCAAAGTTCTATGCTCACCTATAAGACCCCTGTGAGATATAGAGACAGCTCACACACAAAGACAGTATGTGGGAATGGTCGGCAATGCATGAAGAGGCATTCATGAGGCTAAAAAGCAACATGATCAAAGCACCGGTCTTTAGGTTTTACAGTCCCAAAGGTGAACTGATTCTGCAGTGTGATGCAATGTGAAATAGGTCTTGGGGCTGCTCCGTCACAAAACGGCAAACCTGTAGCTTGTAAGTAAAGCACTCTCACCAACTGAAAGGGGAGGGGTTATGCCCAAGTAGAAAAAGAGTGTTTGGCAATCATCCATCACTGCACTCATGGTCGACAGATAACAGTGCATCCAGACATTAGGCACCATATCCACTCCTGACACCTGGGAGTCGAGGGATGTCTTAAACAAGCTCAAGAATGCATCTGTTGCATTGAAGGCATGAATGAACACATTAAAACATAGACTGCCAAATGTGACACATGCAGCTCAGTAGACACTTGATAACAGAAAGAGACATTATATACACATGAGATCATGACCAAGTCTTTGGCTAAGGTAGGAACAGTCTTTCGAGAACAAAGACTCCAGTAGTTTGTGCACAGGACCTCATCACCTGGATACCCCCAGTGTAACGGAGAAGTGGAGTCTGTTGTGAAGATGGCAAATAGGATAATGTTGAAAGCAAAATTACTGGACCACCAAAATACACCAAGTCAAGGAGGTAATGCAAGCCCAGTCCAGAGACTTTTTAGCAGGAGGACAAGGACCCTTCTACCCATCAAGGAAAGTCTTTTACAGCCAGAGGTAAAACACACCACACAAGGACTGAGACTTAATCAACATAAACCAGCAAGATACTGTAACAGATCAGCAAAGGACTTGTACACTTTAAAACAAAGAGACAAAGTGAGAGTCCAGCCTTTTGAACCCTACAGAGTCTGGAGACAAGCTTTGGTAATGAAACCTGTCGATCTCAGATCATGTGAAGAAACAGCTCCATGACACAATACCACAGATTGTTTTGGAGCATAGTCCAACAAATGGACAACAGACTGTTACCAGGCTGTTACCATCTGGGTGTATGTGGTCAGACCGGAATACCTGAAAGACTTCACACAGTAGGTCTAAGGGACAAAGTGAACAGGAAACTACCTGCTGAAAAAAATAATAAAGAGTGAAAAAGAAATGATTATGTAATGGACTGTGTTATACATGTTATGTTAAGGTAATTCCTGTCTTGGTTAGCAGTTTCAACAAGATAAAATCAGGCGGATCAAAGAGAAATTTTAATGTTTTTTTATTTGGGTTTAAGGTTTTTGTGGGAGAAAAAAAAGAAAAGAACAAGGATATAACAAGAGAATTGTTAATAGTCAGTGCTGCAGTACAGAACTGTTTAAGAGATGCACACAGCCAGTATGGAAGGCCCGAGATTTGAGTTTGATTGTATTGAACAGTGGTCAATAACTACAAGCAGTGAGCAAAGTAAATGCTTTAATCGTCCATTCTGTATAATATATTTAAGAAGGCAGAATGAAAAAATGACAAAATTAGAAACATTATTTGAGTGAGATTTCACTCATTTTCAGTGTAGATTTTATTTCTCTATCATCCTGCATTTTTCTCCATCATTAGATCTTTAAAACTCTGTTTTGGTTCAGAGATTAATGTGTGAAAGAAACTGATGTCTGACAGTGTGTGCTACTTTATACTGGTTTAGTTCTAATCTGTAAGTGGATTTCCAGTCTCTTTAGTGTCGATGCTTATGAGATCATTCACCAGAGTTTAGACAACAAGCTTATAAACATTTTACAATGTGATAATACTGTAACTGAAGGGGGTCCAAAATATTTTGGTTTAAAATAATAAAGATAATAATTACTAGAAGGAGGTGTAAACAAATAAAAGTAGATCAAAATATAATTGTTAATATCAAATTAATCTTTCTTCCATAGTTTACATGTTTAGCTTGAAAGACCTGGATGCTGTTTTCCTAAATGAACTAAAATGGCTGGTTTACAGAAACTGATCACCTTGATGCTGATCATCTCCTTGTTTCTGGTTGTTAAAGAAATGCTGCCATCTAGTGTAAAAAGCACACAGTTAGAATAGAGCATCTGACTGACTCCTCCTTTTCAAAGCTCCTCCTCCTCCTCTACACCTTCTCTACCTGCTGGAGGAAGTAAATCTCATACTGTCACTCTGATCTTTCTTCATTCTGCATTCACTTCACTCAGAGACACCAATGAGGAGCTTTTAAACAGTGACTGTATGAGTTTGTTTCTTGATGTGTGATTTCTGAAAGGAGCTCAACTCACATAAAAGTCTACGATGGCTGATTCTCAACTGTGCTGCTTTCACCATGAGCTGCTTTCTGGCTCAGTGTGTTTCGTCAGGGCAGCTAATTCCAGTTTGTATCTCTCAGTGACATTAATTTCACTTTCACTGGAAGATGAAGAGCCTCCAAACTCCAAACAGTGATTTATCCAGCTCTACAGCTGAACTAACACCTACCCCTGCCACAAGTAACAAATATACCTGTAAATAAATATGAAGAGTTCACAGACAAATCAGTCAGGAATCACTGTTAGACTTTGGGGATACTTTCATCAAATCAATTCATCTTTGTTATCTAAATTCAACATCTATTGTTCAATAAGAGTAAGTACAGTACAGTCTTTTCAGTTTGCATGATGAGATTAGAAAATCATACAGACCCCCTGCCCCCTTTACTCATTAATAATAGCTCTGATCATGGACATGGACCCCTTTTTGCTGAACAGTGCTGGAGACAATAAACAGCTTTGAAACTGCAAGAAGGGCCTGGGTTCAACCTGGGCATGACCTCAGTGTGTAGTTTGCATGTTCTCCTCGTGTCTCTGTGGGTTTCCTCCCACAGTCCAAAGACATGCAGTCAGGCCGATTGGACATTCTAAACTGCCCCTACACTGTTAGAAATAAAGGTTCTGTGCAGGTACATTTTTCTTTCATCAAGGTACAAACAATGTAAATGTTCCCTCAAAAGGTACAACAGTGGTTTTAAGGTCCAGTTGTGAACCTTAAATGAGTTTTCCCAGTGGAAAAGTATACATTTGTACCCTTTCGAAACCAAATGTTTTAAAAAAGAACAATAAAATAAAAAGGCTGGAGATGAGTCGGGGTGTGTGGAGTCAGTACAGCTTGGAAAATATCATTTCAGAAGTGATGAACTTTCTCTGTGTGTGATAATCTGATAAATTCTTAATGAATACAAGGATTTAATATCAGACAATTGATAAATGTTCATAAGAGATCAGCTGCTTTATTACTGAATAGAACATGGACAGTAAAATTTTCTTTCTTATTTTTCTGAAATAAAAAGACTTTTATAATTTTAGATGTAAAGCAGTGTATCGCTATACAACTAACTCCTCACAGAAATTACCCACTGATTACACATTATGTAATAAGACTTTATGTAATAATAAAAAGAGATAAGACTTGACTGCAAAATAAATGCCGTGTGATGGACTAGTGACCTGTGCATTGTGTTTCCTGCCTTCTTCCCAATGACCCCTGAGATAGGCACCAGCTCCCCTTGTGATAAGCGGCTTAGATTGTGTGTGTGTAAAATAAATCTTCATAGATGTTTCAGTGGGAGAATTAACATTAAAGTGTTTGATACTTGAAATTTCAGGCCACAAAAGATTTCAGAAAACATCTTACTTTGTAAACATGTTATGTTATTCGTTTTTGAAAAAAAGGTTTATATACAAGCAAAAACAATCAACCACAAACTTTGAGTATTTTCTAAGACTGAGTTAAAGGAACAATAACAATTCTTTATCTGTCTAGCTCCTCCCTTGAAAGCTCCTCCTCCACTACACAGTCTACCTGCTGGAGGAAACTGAAGCTCATACTGTCCCTCTGCTGATCCTCACTCTCGCTGATAAAAGCTATGTAACAACCTTGATTTTATTAATCATCTTTTTGATGACATCCGAGGACTTTAGTGACTGACTATGAACACTGTTCAGTACAGAAATTTATGAAGTGAAGGTAAAATTTAGACAGGAGAAGCCATTAGAAAGAACAGCCGCTGTTGGAGAAAATGGAATATAAAAGCTCTCTACCAGAGGAGGATCTTTTATGCTGTGTGTGCAAAGACATTTTCAGGGATCCTGTTATTCTGTCGTGCAGCCACAGTGTGTGTAAAACCTGCTTAAAGAAGTTCTGGGAAACTAAAGGATCTCGAGAATGTCCATTTTGTAGAAGAAGATCCTCAAAAGGAGAACCTCCTGTTAGCCTTAACCTGAAATATGTGTGTGAGTCTTTTCTAGAGAGCAGGAGTCAGAGATCTTCAGCAGGGTCTGAGGTGCTCTGCATTCTGCACAATGAGAAACTCAGACTCTTCTGTCTGGATGATCAGCAGCCTGTGTGTTTGGTGTGTCAGACTTCAACGACACACAAACATCATGCATTCTCTCCAGTTGATGAAGCTGTGACTGACCTTAAGGTATGAAACTTCTAGTTTAAGTTCTAGTATTCTTGAGTAACAGATTAAACTAATGTATAGTGAAACTGAAGTCAGTCAGTGGATACAGTTTCAGAGCAAAGGGCAGAAAGTACAGGTGAATCATAAACCTAAAACATATAGTCATAAAAATGCTCTGTTTAGTTTACTAAGCCATAAAGATTTTAGTCGCGAGCAGTTGCGATTTCACAAACCACATTTATAAGTTATGTTCAAATATTTTAAATGTTAGAGAATGAATAGCTGAACTGCTGTTTAATTCCAGAATAAACTCAAGTCTGCTTTGGAGCCTCTACAGAAGAATCTGAGAGTCTTAGAGGAAGCTAAACAAGACTATGACCAAACAGCAGCTCACATTAAGGTGAAACATCATCTTGAATTCTGAAACATGTTGCTGAGGTCATGTTTCTGATGAGTGTCCACTTCTCCTGTAGGTGGTAAATGCTTGTAGATCATCTGTTAGAGTTTGTGTTTCCTAATGGTCTCTCATTCCAGACGCAGGCCCAGCACACAGAGAGGCAGATAAAGGAGGAGTTTGAGAAGCTTCACCAGTTTCTAAGAGATGAAGAAGCAGCAAGGATAGCTGCACTGAAGGAGGAAGAGGAGCAGAAGAGTCAGATGATGAGGAGGAAGATTGAGGAGATGAATGGAGAAATATCAGCTCTTTCAGACACAATCAGACACATAGAGAAGGAAATGGAAGCTGAGGACGTTCTGTTCTTACAGGTAAGACTTACTTTACTCTCTCTCTGATACTGATTGAACAAATGTCAACAAATAAATTTAGAAATTTTCAGATTGCTTTAGAAAAGTGGAGGATCACTGTGAAGATTAACAATCACAATGATCTACCATGTGAAACTGTCAGTGTTCCGTGGGGTTTGTTTGATGAGTGCGGTTAGAACTTTAGACATAATTAATGAGGAAGTTCATATGAAAAAACGTCTGAAACTTTTTTTAAAAAAAACATTCTCTTTATTTCTCCTCTCAGAACTTCAAGTCTACAGAGAAACAGTGAGTAAATGTCAGACCACACATTTTATCTAATGCTAAAATCATTACCACATTTAAATCTACAATATATCTTATTGTAAATATGATAATATTTACAAATATATTATAATGAAATGAAGGTAAATAAGGATTGTGTGTTAAAGCTGTAGTAATAAACAGTAGCAGAAATATTTATTTAACAAAAACAACAGAACTATTGACTCGAGACAATAAATGTCATAAAATATTGATATTTAGTCAAATAAATTACAGGCTGTAAAGTTTCTACAGTGATATATTTCACACAATCTTCTATTTTCAGAGCTCAGCTCAAACCAAAGGATCCAGAGAAGACATCAGGAGCTCTGATCAATGTAGTGAAACACCTTTCCAACCTGAAGTTCAGAGTGTGGGAGAACATGCAGGATATTCTCCAGTACGGTAAGTTAGCACTATTAAATTAAATATCTGTTTTCATGTGGTCACTTCATGCTCAGCCTTTATCACGGTACAGTCACGTTTCAGTCACAACAAACCTGACCAAGAAATAAAAGTCACTCATGCTTAAGAAGCAGCTCAAATACAGACGATGTTTTATGAATGTGACAGTTATCAACTAATGCTGCTGTTTACTTCTCACTGCAGTATCACCTTTTACAGTTAAAGTAATGCTACTGGACTTTACATCATGACACTAGCAGCAGGTTTATAACAGACATTACGTACATGAGTATTTCCTGGTCTGTGAAAAGGCCCAAGTTTGGTTTGAGCTGTTCTTAAATAATGCCTGGGCAAATTCAGACATGCTCAGTAGAACCCTGTTGGAGTGATCCATTTGGAGAGGGGGTCATGGGATTCATATAGTTAGAATTTTTTTTTGTTTTTATTTCATTTGATCTTGTTCATTCTGTGTGTTTTAGCTTATGATTCAATAATCCATTGTGAACAAGCTTTTCTTGGATTTTGTATTTATTTCATATGTTATTATTGATGGTTATTATTGTTCCCCCCTGTAGAGGTGAAAAATTGGTATGTGCTGGATTGAGTAGACCAGTGGGATGTCTATATAAAGAGCTCACGGCATTTCTGTAGAGAGAGGCTTCTTGTTTGAATTGTCCCGGTCCACCTTAAATGGTGCCTAAGGTGCCCTTTAAGGTAAAGAGGGATAATTCGAATGAGAATCGACTTCAGCAATAAATGTATCAGGAAACCAGCCGAGTGCTTATAAATGCAAATAAGTCTGTCCATCTCCAAATGATCGATGTTCGTCTTAAATCTTTCTCTTTGCCATTTCGTTATCTGCTTTGACGTGTGACCAGCTGTCTGCGTGTCAGTGTTCAGCGTTAAAGGTCATTGAATTAGCAGTTATGCAGCAGTTAACTCCAGCGTTTAAGATCATTTATTGTGAGAACTGTGTGTTATAAAGATTTTACAGCAAAGGAGGCTTGTGTTATTTTACCTAAAATCTAGTAGTCTGTACAGATCTTGCTGAAATGTTTAAATTGGAACAGTTTTATTTCAACAGTTGACAGTGCTTTGCACTAAATTGTTTGGTTTGTATTTGTTGGTTTTTGTTAGGAAAAACCTGAAATGATTGACTTTGCCTTTATTCTTAATTTTTGTTGGATATCACGCCTTTGATTGTGTACGTTTGATTGTTGGTTACACTTAAACTCACTTTTTGGTGATCTTTTTGTATATTTGCAGCTTTTCAATTGTATGTTTTCTTTCTAGCACATGATTAAATGCAGTGTCTTGTTCACACTGTCAGTTGGGCTTGTTAGGGGTGTCAGGTGGAGATTCAAAAACATTCTGACAATCATCCTTTGAAAGTAGTGCACTTTTTCTGGAAAAGTAGCCAAATTGCTACTAATAGCTACACATTTTGGGAATTTTAGTAGCTATCCTAACCCTGGTTGATTGTTGAGCCAATGTATTTTGAGGGAAACTGTTGCTTCCTTAAAGTTTATAAATATTATGTATTCATATATATATATATATATATATATATATATATATATATATATATATATATATATATTAGTTAATTTGGCATGACATAAAGCAATAATAAAATTAAATAATAAAGCAATTTTTGATTGAATTGGATATTTTTTCCCCAAATATAATTTGAGTATTAAAATATTCAGCTATTATGTATTGATGGAATTACTTCAATGCTTACAATTGTAGGAACATCCTAAATGTGTAAAAGAGCATTTGTAAGGTCAGACAGTGATGTTGGACGAGAAGGCCTAGCTTGCAACTGATGTTCTGATTCATCCCAAAGGTGTTCGGTGGGATTGAAATCAGGGCTCTGTGCAGGCCATTGGAGTTTCTCCACTCATCAAACCATGTCTTTATGGAGCTCACTTTGTGCACAGGTGGCACAGTCATGCTAAAAGGAGCTTTTCCAAAGTGTTGCCTCAAAGTTTGAACCTTTTCATTGTCTAAAATGTCTTTGTACACTGTAGAATTAACATTATCCTTCACGGGAACTAAGGAGCCCAAATCTTGAGACACAGCTCCAGACCATCATCCCTCCTCCACCAGACTTTACTGTTAGCACTGTTCAGTCCAGTAGGCAGTGTCTTTCTGGCATCCACCAAACTGAGATTCAAACTCTGTAGTGAGTTTTTGTGAAGTGATGTATCTAATTCTCAGCACTGCAGTGACACTGATGGTAAAGACTGAGACTGTAGCTCATCTGTGCATACGTTGCAGTTCGTAAAAACATTTTCGCTCCTAGATATTCCATGATCAGCTGTGAGTGGTATTTTTGAAGAGTCGAAGCATTTAGGAACCACAGCAACTCAGCTGAGTGCTGAGGCACATAGTGCATAAAAGTCATCAACACTCTGCTGACTCAGTAACTGCAGAGCTCCAAACCTCCTCTGGCATCAACATCAGCACAAAAACTGTGCACAGGGACCTTCATGGCATGGGTTTCCATTGCTGAGCAGCTGCTTGAAAGCCTTACATCACCAAACACAATGCCAAGTGTCGGATGGAGTGGTGTAAACTTGCTGCCACTGGACTCTGGAGCAGTGGAAACGTATTTTGTAGAATGATGACTCACGGTTCTCTATCCGGGAGTCTGAAGGACGAGTCTGGGTTTGGCGAATGCCAGGAGAAGGTTACCTGCCTGACTGCATTGTGCCTGCTGTAAAGTTTGGTGGAGGAGGGATAATGGATGGGGTTGTTTTTCAGGGGCTGGCCTAGAACCCTTAGTTAGAGTGAAGGGAAATCTTAATGCTTCAGCAGACCAAGACATTTTGGAAGTTGTATGCTTCCAACTTTGTGGGAACAGTTTGGGGAAGAACTTTTTCTGTTCCAGCATGACTGAGCCCCAGTGCACAAAGCAAGGTCCATAAAGGCATGGCTGGGTGAGTTTGGTGTGGAAGAACTTGACTGGCCCTCACGGAGCCCTGACCCCAACCCCACCGAACACCTTTGGGGGGATCAACTCCATATTAATGCCTGTGGATTTAGAATGTGATGTAATAAAAGCTCCTGTAGGTGTAATCTGTAGGTGTCCCCATGCTTATAGTGTATATATCAAAATTTATATTATAGTTTATCTGTATTCTAGACTCTACCTCTAAAGCTGTCTGTAGAGATAAAACATTTACAGAAATGAGAGAAAAACATGATGTTTCATTGTGTTCTCTCTCCTCAGCCCCTGTTACTCTGGACCCCAACACTGCACATCCAGACCTCCACCTGTCTGATGATCTCACTGCTGTAGAAAACACATACATGGAATCATCACTTCCTGATAATCCAGAGAGATTTAATAAGTTCAGGTGTGTTCTGGGTTCTGAGGGTTTTAACTCAGGGACACACTGCTGGGACGTCCAGGTTGGAGACTTATGGTCACTGGGTGTGATACCAGAGTCTGAAACAAGAAAGGGAAACTGTGTCTGGGGTTCGGTGTGGATGTTGTGTAATAGTCATGATAAATACTGGATACAGTGTCCAGGACAGCGAGATCACTCCCTCACTCCTAAAGAGAAGCTGCAGAGGGTCAGAGTGCAGCTGGACTGGGACAGGGGGAAAGTGACCTTCACTGATCTTCTAACAAACAAACACCTGCACACTATAACACACACTTTCACTGAGAGAGTTTTACCTTTTTTCTGTAATAAGGATGTTGTTCCTCTGAGGATCTTACTAAAGAAAACGTCAGTAACCATTAAATGATTATCAATAGCTGTGAACAAATCATTAGTTAATCATAATTTAAAAATGTACAAATGTTTATAAAAGACAGTTTTGGTACTTGTTAATGTGTATATTCATATTTATACATGCTGTGCATTTACAATGTTTCTTTCACCAATAATGAGTTACACAACTTCAGTACATGTATGGAAATAGTCAGAGTGAATTATTGAAATGCATGACTTTTTCATAACGATATAAGCATTACGTTTTATCCTGTGTATTTATATGATGACAAAATGTCATTTGACTAACTAATAACTCATGTATAGTTATAACTTCTGCTAACAGATGTGTAAAATATAAGTTCTTTAGAAACAATAAACAATACTTTTTAACTTATTTCATTTGTGTTTTATAGTATTGTAATGCTTCAAACAAAGCAGTGTCTGTCAAAATCCCAGAAATGCTGCAATCTGACAATGTGTTGAATTATCAGTGCATACACTGTCCAGCACAGATGAGGCTCACCGTCTCCATGTAAAGAAGAATAACAAAAGCTGTTCTCTCATTTACCCCTTTTGTCATTTCTTCTTTTTTTTCGTTTTAATGAAATGAAGTGTTAAAATGTGTGCAAATTTAGACACATTGCTTTGTCTTTTACATGGAGGGATTCAAAGTGCACAGATTCCCAAATCTCACTGTCACACAAAATATACGTGAGAAGTCCCTGCCATGTGACTGTTGTAGATTCTGCACTAATTTGGCAGTGTCTCTTCACGTCGTCTCTTTCTCCACACATTTCTGACACCCTGTACAATTTTAGTCCTGATTTTTCTTTCTCAAACAAAGTTTTAGAACATGTGATAAACTCCTGAAGAGGAGCAGGGGTGTCACTAAAGGTTCATAGATAGGGGGGCTAAGCCTGCATTTGACGGGTCTGGGGCATGGTCCCCCAGGATTTTTTCAAGGCACCAAATTTTCTGTTCATTATGATCTATTAGAGTAGCTACAGTCAGAACATTCATCAAATGTTCAATTTGGTCAAATTGCACACAGCAGATCTGTCTCTTTGTAGTCAGTACTAAGCACAGAGCTAGTATGACAAACACTGTCCATCCATTTACAACAGGCACAAATCAGTGTTTAGTAATACATTACTTTAATAAAATTATTTTAATAAATTTACAAGAACTCAAAGAAATACAGTTCAATCAATTGTTTTTTTTTCATTTTAACTGGTAAAAATCTCATCTGACTGGCCTTTCACAGAGCTGTCACCTGAATAATCTGATATCAGATTAATCTGTTATGTATGTTGAAGGTGAAGTATGTCAGTGGGTGTGGTTTCAGGACAAAGGGCAGAAAGTATGAGTGAATTATAAACCCAGCATCATGAAGTCATAAAAATGCCAAATCTTTTAAACAGTTTATTTTGCAGTTTAACAGCAGTTAATGCATATACTTTAACTGTTGTTTAATTGCAGAATAAACTCAAGACTGTTTTGGAGCCTCTTCAGAATAATTTGAAAGAGGAAGCTAAACAAGACTATGACCAAACAGCCTCAGTCTTTGATGAGTGAGATCGCAAAAGAGCTAGTCTGATTGATCAGAACAGACTAAATATTTCTTCTCTGTTGCTTCATCAGTGCACAGATTACACCAACAGCTGAACAGAGGACTTTTATTAGTGATTCTACATAAGCAGTCCATCACTGTCTGCTTGGATGGAGCTGGAATTATTAAGACTCTTTAGAAATATGAGGGAGTGAGAGCTTTACAGTGTCTTTAGGACTGACAGACTGCCTGCATTACACAGACTCCACTCACTGGATCTTCATCAGTATAATCTTCTTTATGATTGGACAGAATTATGACCAAAGGAAAACTACTGTAGTGTAGAATATAATCAGAAACACAATGTTTACATGACGTTTATAGGGAATGAAGGGGTGTGAATAAAACAAACTGATAAAGATTATTTCAGGAAGAGCTAATAAACATGCTAAAAAATGCTAAAGTGAACAATCATATTAAAATTAATGTCTTGATAAACAATAACAAATATAAGAAGCGAAAACAAAAAAAGAAATTCTTTGCAACTGAGAAATGAGACTTTAGTGAAAAATATTCATGAGTTTGTAATAAATTATATGAACACATTTTACAGAGTGTTGAGTGATCAACACTGACTGAGATTATTAAATGACTGTATTGTTCATGATCTTTTTGTTTATTGAAAAAGTCAAAATCCCATTTCATGAAGCAGATGGACTTTTTACTAAACACAAACTAGCAAATCCTGAATCTACAACTTGGACTAAAGCTATAATCTTGTTCTGTTTTAAAAGCCAACACTCTGACTTTTGTAGTTATAAGTGTTATCAGCTGCTGATTCAGATCTGATTCTGCATTGTTGTTTTTTTTTAATTATGTGTTCATGCACTTTCTCAAAAACACATTTGGGTACCCTGCAAATACCACTGATATTAAGATAATAATAGTATATGAATTATTAAAATTCAGTTGAAAGATTTGCTGATTTAAGTGCATTTTGGGACTAATAACTGTTTTAGACGATGTTCGTTTAGGCTTTGTGAAGAAGTCCTCCTCCTCCAACATGGGTTAATTTACTATGAAAAACATGCCTCACAAAATGAAATTTACAAACATTTATGCTGCAATAGTTGGATCATAAAATGATGTACGGGGTTGAAAGTCAGATTGTAACATTTTCAGACGGTAAACTTTCAAATGGTAAACACTATTCCATGGTGATTTTGCCCAGCCTTCTTCTTCTTCAAAAAAGTGTTGATGGCACCAGTAACAAATGATAGAGTTGATGAAGAACTGAAGGACAATGGTTGTTAGAGTCCATCAAGCTTCTCTTCCTCTGATTCTCTTCATATCTCCAGATGTGGATCTTAATGTCTCTAATGATCCTCCTGTGCTTCTTCTCAAAGTTTCATTGGACAGTGAAAATGTGATCATTCAGTCTGGAAAGACTATCATCCTCTGATCTGGTCCAGAAACTGAAACAGTCCTTTAGACCAGGATGTCTTGGAAATTCAATTACCACTGCTGTCTGGAGTCTCTAATCCAGAAGGAATGCTTCACTGGGTTCCTGCATAGAAAACAGTGGAAGAAAGAGAAAGAGAGGGAAACATAATTAGATATAATCTTGTAAATGTGTTAGGGTTAAGCTGATGGTAAAACTATTTTACTGTATAAAAACAGAATTACAGCAATGATTTCTGGTAGATTTATTAATTAATTACTGTTTTTGGAAGGAAGATGGGAATTTAAATTTAGATGTGGCACAAGACAGAGTAAAGAAAAGACGATTTAATAAATTAGAAAAATTTGTTGTAGGTTCCCATATTATTGTATTCAGTGATCCCAATACTATAACAGACAGAACTGACAGAACGTGTTAAAACTGGTACAACAGGACAGGAAGGTCATATTAAACAGGTTACATATGAACACAATTTACCTGATACATTTAGAGAACTCTTTCCACTAAAAGATGATTTTATACGCTTTGGTTGCATTTACAGAAATAGAATTGACAGAATTTATATTAATAATAAATTTAGGTGTCAAAGCTTTTGTTGGACTTATATCATTTGACAGTATATGGTGTAAATAAATTTCAAGATAAGGAGAAGAAAAGAGAGGAATAAAACACTGATTTAAAAAAAATTGAAGAGAATCTGAATATGAAGAACATTATTTATTTGATTTAAAATCAGAGATTGATAAATTTAATACAGAGACAATCCTAAATATTCAGATTCAAGTAGGTCTTGGTTTTGAAGAATTATTAAACCCAAATAAATGCTAGGAAGACATTCCATATATTTGCTCTATTAGGTCTGGGAATCTGTTTTATTTCTGAAGCTAAAGAAGGTGAACAATAAAAACACCTATTTTATTGTTTTTTGAAAAATATATGCCCATTTTGAATTTTATGCTAACAACACATTCAATAATGTGAATTGGGTATAAAAAGAACATCTCTTTCAGAAGTGAAGATGAGGAGGGGATCACCACTCTGTGAAAGACTGCATGATCTAGTAGTGCAACAATTCAAGAATAATGTTTCTCAATATAAAACAGCAAAGAACTTTTGATTTTCATCATCTACGGTACATAATATCATTAAAAGATTCAGAGAATCTGGAGAAATCGCTGCATGTAAGGGACAAGGCCAAAAACCAGTATTTCCTGGCCGTGATCTTTGAGCCCTCAGACAGCACTGCATTAAAAACAGACATGATTCTGTAGTGGAAATCACTGCATGGGCTCAGAAACACTTCTGAAAACCACTGTCTGTGAAAACAGTTCATCGCTGCATCCACAAATGCTGGTAAAACTCTAAAATGCAAAGAAGAAACTGTACATTAATAAGATCCAGAAACTCATTTGAAATGGACTGAGGGGAAGTGGAAAAGTGTCCTGTCATTTAACGAATCAACATTTAAAAATCCTTTTGGAAATCATGGACACTGTGTCCTCCAGACTCAAAATCCAGTATTCATGATGGTATTGGGGTCCATTAGTGCACATGATATGGGTGACATGCTCACCTGTGCGCCATTAATACTGAATGATATATACATGTTTTGGCAACATATGCTGCCATCCAGACAACATCTTTTTCAGGAAATTGCCATGGATATTTCAGCAAGACAATACTAAACCACATTCTGCATGTATTACAACAGCATTGATCCATAGTAAAAGAATCCGGGTGCTAAACTGACCTGCCTGCAGTCCAGATCTGTCACCCACTGAAACATCTGCTGCATTATGAAATGAAAAATATGACAAATGAGCCGCTGAACTGTTGAGCAGCTGAAATTCTGTATCAAACTAGAACAGGAAAACATATCACTTTACACAAAACTACAGCAATTGATCTCCTCAGATCCCAAAAACTTACAGAGTGCTGTTAAAAGAAGAGGTGATGAAACACAGTGGTAAAGTTGCGCCTGTCCCAACCTTTTTGGAACATGTTGTTGGCATCAAATTCAACATTTAACAAGACATTTAACACTTTTAACACCATAGTTTTTTATCATGTATTAGAATATGGCACAACTTAACAATGATTGAATTGCAAATAATATATTGCAACCAGAATTTTCATCTTTATTTTGTTGCACTTGTTGCCACTAAGTTACCCTATATATCATATAAAGTTAAAATGACTTGTAGGTAAAGGACTATAGACTTTCAGATTGAACGTGGAAACTTACAGACTTTTTTTTTGCTTTTAGGACTTTCAAAATGGAATTCATTATGTGCTGTAGTTAATATATTTTGAAATCTTGAAGCTTAAATAACCTTATATTTAATTTATATTTTATATTTACTTTTTTATTTTTCAGTGATGAACAATTCTTCATCAAATTAAGTTAACTCGAACAGTCCAGTCAATTTAAATAGCTTCAGTTTAGCTGTCAGTACTTTCCTGTTTCAAGCTCTGTTTACTCTAAATTTATTTAGGTATTCTTGAATCAGCCTAGTTATGTTAAGATCTCATTTAATTGTGTTTTGCCAAAAATATTCATTTGTGTGCAATGCCTTGGTATCAACAGTATGTTAAATAGATTATTTCATACAGTAATGAACAAATGGCTGCATATCAAATGGTTACATGTTATCTCGCCCATTTCTTCATACAGTAATGAAGAAATGGATAAAACAAGAAAAGCATATTTCTGAGAACTCAAATAGCTGCAAGCATTCTTTGCTATTCTGTTTATTATCTGTTTGAAGGCTGATATTTACCATCTGGGCAAACTATCCAACAGGACTGTAGAACAAAGAAGCAGAAAGAGGAGTATAAACCAGATTTTTTAAGCAAACTGCCTCATTCAAAAGCGAAGTGAAATCTTTTAGCCACTACGGACCAGAGACAGACTGACCCAACACACACCCAAACACTGAACACTGTGGAGTGAAGAATCAAGAAGAATCAAATACACAAAGACATTCTGAAGATCTGAACTGCTGCACTGACCACACCAGGTGCAGGTGTGAGCCAGAGGCTCAGTCCTGAGGAGAGAGAGAAACTTCTGCAGGACTGCGAGGGCAAACATTATAAGCATATTAAGGGAGAAGGGGGCACAACCACATCAGAAGTGCTAAACTGGAGTTGTCGGGGAACATTTAATGGTCCTATATATTCAGGGCTGAGTTTCTCTGAAGGGAGCTTCAATCACAGATCTCTGGTGGACAATCATACCGTTTGTCCAGAATGAAATTGAGCCACTCTACATGATGGGTGATCTGTGTACTTTGTCTACAAACTCCTCTCTGTAAATGAATGTGTGCTTTCTCCAGTTATGACCATTTCTTTCTCATCCACTCGTCCACAGCAGGTACGGTAGGCATTTCTCCTGCCCGAGGCGACAAAGATGGCCAAAACACTAAAACACATTTTATGAGAGGTGACCCTGTAGATGAGCTGGTCAGAGAATTTTGAGCATATTCCATTCATAATAAAAAAAACATGGCCAATCATTCTGAGATCTACAGCAATATGATGTTAAATAACGACCAATTCCCTTATTCAAATGCTCAACCTGCCTGTTAAACTGTGAATGGTACTTTCAAAGTAAGGATACACTTGACATTAAGGTGCTCACACAACACCTCCTCGTGTGAAGTAAACTGAGGACCCTGATCAGATACTATGTCTTCCGGTACACAATAGAACCAGAAGACATGGTGGAATAATGCTTCATCATTGTTAATGGTTTTTTAATTGGGATCAATCTTAATCTACCAGCTTTAGAAAAGTGGTTGACTATTCCAACAATGGTGGTGTTATTTTGAGAACTGAAGAGGTCAGTGACAAAGTCTATGTTCAAATGTAACCATGGATGCTGTGGAACAGGTAAGGGCTCTGGAAGGCCAGCTGGAAGCTGCTGAGGGGATTTTGTTTGAGTGCGTGAAGTATACAAGTATGTAAGCTATATTTCATTCTTTACTGAGATTTACACTCTGCAGGAGTCGAGTACATAAAGGATTAAATGTAAATGTAGTGGTAACCAATCGGTATGCGTTGTTAAATCAGCGAGATGAAGCTAAAAAAAAAAAAAATCTAGAGCGAGAGCGGTGCTGGTGTTGTAGTTCGGAGAGGAGTACGATTTTGCGGTTTATTTAGTTTCTTTACCACGTTTGCTCACTTTTAAGTTGCGAAAAGCTTACCCTTCAACCATACTGTTGAGAAGGGAGCAAAGGAGTTCTAAGGACTCATTCGGCCATCTCCACAGGAGATTCGATTGAAAGAGCTGGCTCCATAAACGGCTGTATGGAGTATGTGTAATGGCGGACGTGTTAAACTTTGTCACAGACTGAGAAAAGCTCAGTGCCATAAATTGAGCTAAGGACATTCCGCATTACTGTAAGTCAAAACTAAGAGTCAGACTTGTGCTAAGTTAACTCTCTAGACCCTTTTTGCATTAGTTTAAACTGAATTCACGCCAAAGCTGGGCTTTTCTTTCCATGAATGCTGAACTGAGCTTGTGCCAAGAGCTAGTAGCCTGCACAGGGATCTCGTAAACATGGACAATGAAAGCACTGAATTGAGGCTGAAGTTTGGCATAGCCAGGGTTGTTCATCACGTTCAGAGGTAGGAAGCTATATATAGACTGTTTCTCTGGGTGGAAAACTTGCTTCCAAAGCTCAGGAGGGAAATTCAAGCAGCATCGAGTGCTTCTGCTACATCATATAGACTTGACGGCCTCCAGTCCTCTTCCAATTGAGCGAGTCGAGTGAAAAAACTGGAGGATTGTTAGGTAAATAAACACTATATTGCCAAAACTGGTTTAAATTATTTTTTTTTAATTGGGGGGGGGGTCATTCAACAAAGCAATCGCTCAAGAAGAATTTTCTCATAACAAAATAAATTTCAGTAGTGTTCTCTTTAAAACTGAAACTTGTAAAATTATCTTGTGTATGCTTACTCTGGAGTAGGCCTGAAGAGTGGCCAGGTTTGTATTCGCACAAACATAATAGTATGCTGTGTTTAAGTTTTCTGAAGCCCACTTCACCATGTCAGCATATCAGAGTGCAGCATAGACTCTGGCAGGTCTAGTTATTACAGCCTAACTAAAAGGGAGAAACCAGTAGGTAACAGAGACATGAGGCTCCCTGAGATGTCAGCTTCCCTCCACTCCACCGTCAGCAAACCTGAATGAACGTGTGAGAGCAGCAGGACGTTAACCATAATACTCTAGGTCCACGAATCCCTAGATCTGCATCTTTTATCTAACAGGGAAAACTAATTACCAAAGGCTCGACTAAACAAGTGGGTTTTTAGCCTAGACTTAAAGACTGAAGCTGTGTCTGAGTCCCGAACACTGACTGGAAGATTATTCCAAAGCTGGGGGGCTTTGTATGAAAAGGCTCTCCCCCTAATGTAACTTTATTAATTCTAGGTACTCATAGTAAGCTAGCACTGTGTGATCTTAGTAGGCGTGATGGTTTATAGTTTGAGAGAAGTTCACTCAGGTACTGAGGGGCCATTCAGAGCTTTATAGCTTTATATATAGAATTTTGAACTCAATGTGCAATTTAACTGGCAACCAGTATAAGTTTATTAAAACTGGGCTGATATGGTCAAACTTTATGGTTCTTTTGAGGACTCTGGCTGCAGCGTTCTGGACAAACTGAAGCTTGTTAAGGCTTTTGCTGGAGGGCACTGCAGTAATCAGGCCTTGAGGAAATAAATGCATTCAAACAAGCTTTTCTGCATCCCGCAGAAACAGAGCATTTCTTAGTTTGGCAATGTTGCGAAGATGAAGGAACACTGACAGGTTTTTAACAGATGTACCTGATGCAACTGAGAAGCTATTAAGATTAAGCGTCAAATTAGACAGTTTGTTTCTAGCAGATTTTGGACCAAGAAGAAGAACCTCTGTTTTGTCTGAGTAGTGTAAAATTGTGTTTCAGATTGTTCTGAGGCCATAATGCTGTAATCCTTAACTTTATCACTCAGTAGGCTTATGACAAAATAAATTTTGCCTAAACCTTTGAGGATGGTGATCAGTGTAAAGACTGCAGCCCATAAGAAATTCCTTACAGCAGGAGTGCATAACACCTGTCCTGGAAGGCCAGTGTCCAGGACAGTTTGGTGATTTCCCTGCTCAAACAAACCTGATTCAAATCATCTGTCATTTGCCAGGTTTAGTGGGAGTGTTTGAGTAGGAGAAAGACACAAAAGCAGCTGCGGCTGGGGCTGGAGTTTTAAGAGAGGATTGTTGTTGAGTCTCAGGAAGAAGCAATGATGAACGAAGCAAAGCCTTCTGGATTTCCCTAATCTTTGCACAAAGCTGACTCTTGAATGGTAGAGTGAGCATTGCAGTGAACACTGTCTCTACCAGTTAAGATGATCTTAAAACTAAGATGCTTTTGGTGAACTGGGCCCAGAACATTTCTTTCATTCTTTGTCAGCACTGAGGAGAGAGAGACCTCTGTAGTCATGGAGGGGAACTTAAGGCAGCAGATGTGATACATGTCAACATCTCCACTGTAAAACCATCATATTTTAGTACATAATATTTGCCTATTTGTAAATGGACAGGAAGTGAAAGTGGAAGAAACCATTTCCAGGGATCCAACAATTTATAGCAATTTATAGCTGTTATGTACAGACGCCACTAATCAGCTGGAACAACAACAACAAGAGAAACAACACCACCACCACCACCACCAACAATAATAATAATAATAATAATAATAATAATAATAATAATGAGTAGCTGAAGACCACAAACAACAAGAAACATCACAAGAAATTGCAGTCAAAATTTGTGTCATTATTCAAGTAAATTTGTTCATGAAATAGGGAGGAAATATGAGCCAAAACATATTTTCAATATCAAATCAATCTTTTTCCCATAGATTACATGCTTAGTTTGTAAGACCTGGATGCTGATTGCTGAAATGAACTGAAGTGAAAGATTGTTTAGAAACTGATCACCTTGACTCATTTAAAAGCTCATTGTTTCAGGTTATTACTGAACTGCTGCCATCTAGTGTAGAAAACACACAGTTAGAATAGAGCATCTGACTGACTCCTCCTTTTCAAAGCTCCTCCTCCTCTACCTGTTGGAGGAAGTGAATCTCGTACTGTCACTCTGATCTTTCTTCATTCTGCACTCACTTCACTCAGAGACACCAATGAGGAGCTTTTAAACAGTGACTGTATGTGTTTGTTTCTTGATGTGTGATTCTGAAAGGAGCTAAAACTCACTCAGTGGGTTGAAGGGCTACGGTGGCTGATTCTCAACTGTGCTGCTCTGATCATTACAGACGTCCTAAAAGAGAAAGTGGACTTTGGACTAAAGGAGCTGTTACAGAGAAACAGCACAGCAGCAGTTGGAGGAAATGGCTGCTAGAAACCCTCTTTCAGAAGAAGACTTTTCATGTCCTGTGTGCTGTGAAATCTTCAGGGATCCTGTTGTTCTGTCGTGCAGCCACAGTGTGTGTAAAACCTGTCTGCAGAAGTTTTGGGAAACTAAGGGGTCTCGAGAATGTCCAGTTTGTAGGAGAATATCTTCTAAAGATCAACCTCTCAATAATCTTGTACTGAAGAACCTTTGTGAGTCTTTTCTAGAGAGCAGGAGTCAGAGATCTTCAGCAGGGTCTGAGGAGCTCTGCATTCTGCACAATGAGAAACTCAAACTCTTCTGTCTGGATGATCAGCAGCCTGTGTGTGTGGTGTGTCACACTTCAAAGAATCACAAAAATCATGAATTCTGTCCAGTAGATGAAGCTGTGACTGACCTTAAGGTAGGATACTTTTTTACCATCCTATTATTTTGGTGGCTAAAATGTAACTCAACCAAAATGTATGAAATCTTTCTCAGTTGAGAACCAGATTCATTTGTATGTTGAAGGTGAGGTCAGTCAGTGGGTGTGGTTTCAGGGCAAACAGCAAATGTCACAAGTGAAATATCAGTAAGAAAATTAAGATTGTCAATGTAATGTAAATGTTTAACACAGCAATATTGCTCTCCATTGGACAAAGAATGAAAAAATCTCCTGATTTTGAGGCAGAGAGCAAAACTTGCTAGTATCTCTCTCCAGCTAGTGAATACACTAATCTGAACTGTGGTTAAATTTCAGGATAAACTCATGACTGCTTTGTGGCCTCTACAGAAGAATCTGAAAGTCTTAGAGGAAGCTAAACAAGACTATGACCAAACAGCAGCTCACATTAAGGTGAAACATCATCTTGAATTGTGAAACATGTTGCTGAGGTCATGTTTCTGATGAGTGTCCACTTCTCCTGTAGGTGGTAAATGCTTGTAGATCATCTGTTAGAGTTTGTGTTTCCTAATGGTCTCTCATTCCAGACGCAGGCCCAGCACACAGAGAGGCAGATAAAGGAGGAGTTTGAGAAGCTTCACCAGTTTCTAAGAGATGAAGAAGCAGCAAGGATAGCTGCACTGAAGGAGGAAGAGGAGCAGAAGAGTCAGATGATGAGGAGGAAGATTGAGGAGATGAATGGAGAAATATCATCTCTTTCAGACACAATCAGACACATAGAGAAGGAAATGGAAGCTGAGGACATCCTGTTCTTACAGGTAAGAGAATCCTTCTAAGTTTCCAGGGCATTCTGGGTAATGTAGTTCTTACAGTCAACAATACGGCCTGTTAAACAATAACCTCCTCTGGATCAAGCAGGGAGCTTCAGCAATCAGTGTACAGTGCTGGTTTCATATGAAAAACACCTGAAAAGTCTCTTCACTTTTAACTACAATGTTCTTTCTGTTTCCCTCTCAGAACTTCAAGTCTACAGAGAAACAGTGAGTAAATATCAGACCACACATTTTATCTAATGCTAAAGTTATTATTACATTTAAATCTACAGTATATTGTATTTACTGTAAATATGAGTGTATTATAATGAAATGAAGGTGAATAAGGATTGTGTGTTAATGTTGTAGTGATGAGAACAGTAGCAGAAATATTTATTTAACAGAAACAACAGAATTATTGACTCCAGACAATAAATGTCATAAAATATTGATATTTAGTCAAATAAATTACAGGCTGTAAAGTTTCTACAGTGATATATTTCACACAATCTTCTATTTTCAGAGCTCAGCTCAAACCAAAGGATCCAGAGAAGACATCAGGAGCTCTGATCAATGTAGTGAAACACCTTTCCAACCTGAAGTTCAGAGTGTGGGAGAACATGCAGGAGATTCTCCAGTACAGTAAGTTCTGTTTCTCTTAGGGTTGATCTCTCACACACAGTCTGCTTCTGCACTGATGAGACACTGTTTATAAACTATTAGTAACATGTTATCATTGTTCTCTTTATTCAGGGTGTAAAAAGGACTCTGAAACTACAAAGTATGAATACTGTACTGTGCAGAAATATGGAGCTGAAAATATACTTTAGTGTAATATAAAAATATATTTAGTGCTGCACTGAACTGAACATCAACATTTAGTCCAGGATTAAAGTTGATCTGTGTTCTGGAATCGACCTCTAAAGCTGTTTAACTCAAAGTAAAGAAAATAGTCTGTAGAGGTAAAACATTTACAGAAATGTGAGAAAAACATGATGTTTCATTGTGTTCTCTCTCCTCAGCCCCTGTTACTCTGGACCCCAACACTGCACATCCAGACCTCCACCTGTCTGATGATCTCACTGCTGTAGAAGACAGAAACCTGAGATCATCACTTCCTGATAATCCAGAGAGATTTGATGAGTGGTGGTCTGTTCTGTGTTCTGAGGGTTTTAACTCAGGGACACACTGCTGGGACGTCCAGGTTGGAGGCAGTCATGGGTGGGAACTGGGTGTGATAACAGAGTCTGTAACAAGAAAAGGAAACTCTGTCTGGGATTCAGTGTGGAGTCTAGGTTACAGTCAAATCAATAAATTATTTGATAAATACAGAAAAAAAAGTAATAAATACTGGATTCGCTGTCCAAGAAAGTCAGCTCTCTCCCTCACACCTAAAGAGAAGCTGCAGAGGGTCAGAGTGCAGCTGGACTGGGACAGGGGGAAAGTGACCTTCACTGATCTTCTAACAAACACACACCTGCACACTATAACACACACTTTCACTGAGAGAGTTTTACCATTTCTCTGTAATCGATCTGTTTATCGTCTGAGGATCTTACCAGTGAAGACGTCAGTAACAGTGGAACAGCACAGTTAAAGTTGATGCTGCTTAGAATGCACATTTATTCAGGTAGTGAGTGTCTGAATTATGATCATAAGAATGTCATTACATTACTTTGGTTAAATATTGGGCAGATTTTGAAAATATGTCCTGATCTGATGCCAGTCGTTTAATGGGTGTCGCAGTAAGAGCAGAATAATTTGTGTGGTTTTCATTCTCAGAGTCTTTAGTGATAAAGTACATGATGTGAATTCACACTGCTGGCGTCTCTTAATACACAGAGAAATAAACAACAAGAACCAAAGAAGATGAAGCAGAAACCCAAGCAAAGCGTTTAAACACTCAGATTCTCTCCTACATGACGCTCATCAAACTAAACACTAGTTCATCATTCCGCTGCAGACAGATTTCCCAGCTGCTCCACCAGCTTGAAACTCTCAGCCAATCCCAGTCAGAGTCTGTGGAAGAGAAACAGATGGAGCCGCTCTTTAGGATTCTACTTTATTGAGGAAAGAGGCTGATTTGTCCTCCTCCAGGTTTAGATGGGATGGTCACCACTGAACAAGCCGCGCTCTTCTTCACTCTCACTCTATGTAGCTTTGTGTCCTTGGGTTGCCAGATGTTCAACACTAGAATCAATAAAACAATTTGATTCTGTTCTGTGATATTTCAATACTGCAGCTTTGCGCTGTGATTGCTGAGCGCCCCCCCCTCTTTAGTTTTGGGGGGCAATGATATGCATGTATATTGTAAGTAATGTGTTTGTACCATTCCATCCTAACATGTCTGTGTGGAAATAAAATGCTGGTTTAAAGTGTCATAGAGTGACTCCTGATATCATTACAACATTAGAAATGTTATTTGAGTGAGATTAATAGTTTACTGTGTGAAATAAACTGCATTATATTATAAACCGAATGCATGTTGTGTATTGAATATTATTCCACAGCATCATGTAAAGATCACCCAGCAGATAAAATGGAGAAGACAAACAAACAAAAACATTCTGGCTCTTTTGCATGTTGGACAAAGACATAAAAATGACTTGTTTTGGTTTTATTTTAAATAAGCTACTCCAATGTCATTGCCATGTCATGGTAGCATTAGCATTCTTGTGTGTGCAAACATAGATCGATAAAAACAAAAAAACAAACAAAATATATTGTGAATGTTAACAACTGGACCAACAATCACAACAAAGTTAAGAGTGATTTAGACTGTATCAGTGACAACATTTAACCTGCATTAACCCTTTAAATTAAAACTCATTGGGCCGGTAGGCTCAAAGTTTTATTACACACTTACACAGCCTAAGAATGGCTCAACCAGTTTGCACTGAAGTCCCAGTGGTTATGGAATAAATAGCCGTAATATGTAATATGCCTGGCATTTTTGGGAGTTAATATGAGTGAACTACCCAAAGTATAATCCAGACATGAAGTTTTATTGTTGTTCATTTATCAGCATTTCACACAAATTCTTCTAAATGTTCATGTCAGCTCAGGATGTTGGTAGTAAAGCACTGACCAATAGAATGGGATGCTCTGAAGCAGCAGCGCCCAACATAACGTGTTTTATCTGGTGTAATAATCAACTGAAGTAAACACTTTGACTGAAACAAAGCAAACAAAAACAATAATAAACAAAATCAACATTTTTCTTCAATCACAAAAGCAACTTCTCTCCTTTTCTACTTTTTGTAAACAATACAGCATTTCACTGAGCAGCCTATTTGCAGTAAGATAGTCTCAATATTTACATGTATAGTTACTGAAAGAAAAAGCAATACAGAATAAATCAAATTTCATTTAAATGATTTTTTGCATGATGTTTATGTGTAGCAGCGGAGGGACTAGGCTTGATAAGAAGTCAGTACATTCTTGCAGGAACGCATGTTCACAGTGTTCACAGATCATACACTCCAATGCATCCAGCAAAGGTGAAAATGGCTGTTGTGTAAGAAGAGTAAACATTTACAAAACTGAACAGTGTCGACACTTTATCATCTTTCTTTGGTAAACATGTAATGTTGCTCCAACCTGTTGTCAAGTGTGCGACACAGTTCACTTTATTTTTCACAAAACAGAATCTTACAAATACACTCATTTCAGCACAAACAGAGAGACACACGTGTACAATAATTGACAAAATAAACAGAAACACAAGGCTGTGAGTACACAGCCAACAGAACTGAAGGGGATATTGACATAGATGAGGACACTAATGGCTGGAACAGGGAGGTCACATGAGTGGGCAGAGCAAGGAAAACTTTGATTCATTTGAACAGTTTTCAAGGATAAACCACAACTTTAGGAGGTAGAAGACCTTAGATTAGATTTTTATTTGATCCAGTTCTGCTTTTAGCACATTTTCACATTTCTCACCTCCACCAACAATGAAGCTGCAAGTAACACTGGCACTCATCTGTGTGCTTTTCTCTAAAGGTATGGAACATGACATACAGTACAGTATGGGAAATTTTAGATGTAGTCAATTTTAGAATTGGCAATTTAGTTTTAAATGACAATTTTTATAACTTATATTTTTAAAAGTTAAAGTTTAAGGATATCAGTGAATATCTGATTACCCCTTGCTGAAGTGTTGATAAATAGGTTTCTTAAAAAACTAAGTCTTGAGGCAATAACCTAACAAATAGTGAGCAGGAGTTTGTACTGGGGGCTCACCAACTTTCTCTTCACGTAACTGGATCTGTTTTTCATGCCGGATTGTCTCTGTTCTCTAGCGCTGGCACTGAGGTGTTATCAGTGCATACCAGAGCTGTTTGGACACTGCACAGACACCCTGACTTACTGTGTCCAGATCAGTGTGACAGCAAAACCGCCGTCTTGAACGTTGGTAAGAAAGACGTCAACACAAAAGAATGAGACTCAGTCAGAAATCTCTCCACTTAACCATGGGCTGTGTTCACTAGGGGGTCAAAAACATGAAATACATTCAAAGACATGTGCAACAGCAGGGCAGTGTGTCACTGGGAGCCTAAACCTGGGACTTATGAAAATGACCTTCAACTCAAAATGCTGCAGCACTGCTCTCTGCAACACACAGAAAGTGCCAGGTAAAAGCTTTGAATACTGAAGGAGGGATGTTGCCATAAAGTGCCCTGAACTGCAGGACTGCAGAAAGTATCCTGTTTAACCTCTTCTCTTTGCTTGTTTACCTGTTCAGCTTTGCCACAAGGGTCTCCAAATGGGAAGATATGTTATGCCTGTAATGAGGATGGATGCTCAGACACCGTGAGGTGTGAGGGAGATCAAGATCGCTGCATCAGTGCCACAGGTGATCTATAACTCTAGACTGTTCTTTTATACATATTTTTAGCCTTATTCATGCACATCAAGAGGAAACCAAACTTTGGTAACACTTTCTATGAATGTCACCTTTGTAAGCATCTATAAACACATTTATAACATGTTATAATGTATTCATAAGGCATTATAAACGAGGTTATAAATATTTATAAAAAAGAATTACACTGAATTACACTTTATAGCCATGCTTATGATACATTATGAATTGTTAATATAATGCATTATAAGTAGTGTCGATAACATGTTATACTGTCAGTGCCAAAGAAGTCAGTCCCAGCTTGGAGAGCATAAAGTAAAGACAAATACCAAGCTAACGGTGGTGAACATTACCTTTCCCACATTGGGTAAAACACTGATGGCAGCACTAGTTTAAACTCTGACATTTGAAGCCTGTAATGCGCTTTATTGTGAATGTTTTAGTGTTTCAGTAAATCCTCCAGTAAATATTTCAACTTGTAGCCTCACTCTTAACACTGGAGGAGGCTTTAGTACAGTACGGTTCACTTTACTTAGAGCGGACAAATAAAACTTATGAGCTCTTATAATTTGTTATGATCAGCATTTATAATGTATTATGTTAACAATTCATAATGCATAATAAACATGGCTATAACGTATAGTGCATTTTTATAAATATTTATAGCTATGTTTATAATGTCTTATGAATGCATTATAACATGTTATGAATGTGTTTATAGATGCTTACAAAGGTGACATTCATAGAAAGTGTTACCCAAACTTTCAGTCCTGAAGAACTGCATGAGGCATTTTATTATATTTGGAGTAATTTATTACTACAGTGACTATAAACTCCTGACTGTTCTGGGGTGCAGGCAGTCGTGTGCAGAAGCCTCAGGAATCTGAATGAATGATGTGAAGCTAAATATCAGCCTAAAGCAATAATTTGTTGAAAAACACTAAATATAAGTGAACAAAGATTGAAATGCATTGTGACATTGCGATTTCATGTGTGTCAGTGTTTGGTTTAAATATTCCAAACTTCTCCTTGGAAAAGACGAGCATTTACAGTCACCATCCAATTGGGCTTCTCACAGTTATTACTTAATGATTTGAGCTTGTCACAATAATTTTTTTTCCTCAATATCTTTACACTTTTACACAATTTCTTCCCTCAGTTTTTTTGCTTTTAGTGGTTTTACAGAGACACACTCACTGCTGGAATAAATAAGTTGAACGTTTTTCTTGGGTGACTAATACTTTTGCATGGTATTGTAAGTGCTTTTAGGATCTTTTATGAGACAAGAAGACATTGAGGATTTTGATAATTGTGATAATTTTAATTTTTGCCTTTTATTCATTTTAATGTATATATTGAGCTAACTTGCCTTTCTCTCTCGCTCGCTCTCTCTCCCTCTCTCTCGACATTCAAAGTTAACTCTGGTGGTGTTAAAATGACTATGAGAGGATGTGTGAGCAGAAGTCTCTGTGCTGAGGATACATCGAACATAGAGGAAGCTGGAATCACTGGAGACGTGAGCTGCTGTGAGGGGAACCTGTGTAACAGCGCTGCAGATGTTAAGACGAGTCTCCTCATTGTGCTGGTCTCTCTGCTCTCCTCCATACTATTCTTCTGAACTCTGTTGTGCTGAGGAACAAATTAATTTTTTTTTATTTCTATTTTTCAAGACGATCAGAGTTATGTATTACAAGGTGACCAACTGCACAGTCTGAATGTTTATAATCATTTTTTTCTTACTGAAATTAGTTGAATAAACAGTATGAAGACTATTAGTGGTCCAGTCTATTTTCATACAGATATACCCCTAACACGCACAAATTATTATTATTATTATTATTATTATTACAAAGTGCTACACAGATTAAAAACAAAACAGAAAGAAAAAAAACTGAAATAAAGACAACACACCCAAGCAAAATACTAAATACAGAGTAGAAAAAAAAATTCTACGGAGCTCCTCTTTATACTCCGCTCCAGTAACTCTGCCCTCCTTCAACCCTGCCGTGCTCCCAAAACCAACTCCGTGGGTATCCTCATGGCCGAACACAAGGAGAGCCAGAGTGAACCTGGACAGCATTTACACAGCAAAATGACAAGCCAGCAGGACCGAACTTGACTCAAAGTTGTGACCCTGGTCACTGTGGAACTCCCCTGGCATGCCAAACTGGCAGAAGAACCTCTCTACCAGCTATTCTATTTTGCTCACCCCAAAGTGCCTCATACTAGCTGCCCCATGCACCCACTCAGCACAGTGTTATGCAGGCTGCGTGGCACCGCAACTGCCCGACAAACTTACCAGGCACTGGTTCCTCCCACTCAAAAAAAGTAGCCCTTCATGTAAACTGAGCCTGTCCCAATTCACTTGAAGTGCCTTGGTGGTGGGCTCCTGTGGTCTGACATCTGTCCATTCCAGTGTCCAACTGCACACCCAGGAGAGTTCAATATCTTCCTCCTGGGCATAACAGAACTCCTCAGGGCTTATGACATCAAGTCCGGTGCTGTCTCTCCCTGACGTCAGCCGACGGTTGGAACGTGATGTCTTTTTACTGATGTCTGTGCGAGGCCCTTACAGTGGTTGTTCACCAAGGTAATTTTAGGTCAGTTTGACGTCTTATTTATGTCATTTTAACATTGGGTTTTCACGTAAAGGCATGATGTAATGCTGGGAAAAACACCATATTTTCTTTAGTCATTTGTGTATGTGTATTTAATGTTTCACACCACAGATAAGTCTGTGTTCACAAGATCACATGTCTATGTCTAAACAAAAAGAACGTAATATATAAGTCTGATAACAGTTACAGATGAGTTATAGCTTGTGTATCCAGTGACAACCAGCTAATATTAATAAGTTTGAAGATGCTCTGAAAAGCAGTACAAATATACAAATATATGCAATGTGAGACTAAAGTAGAATTTAACTGCATTTATTTAGTACTTTGGGCCTTTTTTAAAAATTACATTACTTTCAGTTGCAAAGTCGAATGAATGAAACATGTTTTGATTAATATCTATTTATATTTAATTCAACGAATATGACAAATCACATTGTTTTAGATTTTAGACTTTATACATTTAAATCAATTTCTAAAATACACTGAACAGCCATAGTATTAAAACCAATCTGCTAAAATGGCTAAAGTTGTCCTCCAAGTGCCACCAAAACAGCCCCAAACCACCAAACTCTACAAGACCTCTCTCTCTCTCTCTCTCTCTCTCTCTCTCTCTCATACACACACACTCACACACAATATTCATCATTTGAGCCTTCCTCCTCCACCACGTCTATCTGGGGCGTATTTGAGAATTTTAGCCACTACTTGGATGACATGAGACGTTGGAATTTGTGAACATTTTTTGTAATAAAGATTATTATTTTTGTTACAGAATAACACTTACCATGGATTACAGCATAGAGCCTAGTGGCCCTGAATGCCCTTATTCCCTTTATATTGAATTGGGGCATCAGTTCATTGGTCATCAGCCACTAAAAGATAACACTAAGCACACAATATTAAACAGTAATAGTTTCTGATCCTAGATCGGCTACTTAGAGTTAATGTTGTCATGATACTGAAAATTTCAACCTCGATATAATACTTTGAAATACATTGAAATTTGATACCATTTTTGATACCAAAGGCAAATAAAATTGAGTGTGATTATTTTTTAGATAAACATATTCAAATAAACATAAGATTTCTCTTGTAAATCACTGTTCTAAAGTGAGGCTCATGCACAAGCAGTGCAGACATAGATGCATAAGAGACAAATAGGAATACAGCTGTTGTGTCAACAGCCAAATTCTTTATTTTTAATGAACACCTGGAGCCTTCAGTTGTCAACACAAATAAATTCCATTATTGTCTGCTTTAAGGTAACTTCAAGTTAGCTTAGCTGTCATTAGCACTTATGGCTCTTAGCACTTACGGCTCTTAGCCATAAGGAATAGGACCAGGAATAGGATAATAAACACGTATCAGGATGATAGTTTATTGAGGCATCGTGTTAAATGTTCCAGTGACATTGAAAACGGGAGAATTACCAACCTCTTGGAACTCTCTGTACAGGTCAGCACACTGGTAATGCTGGTAACATGTTCTGATAAAGACATTTAGACTATCAAACTATCCTACCTGTAGTTTCAATAGGAGGCTAAAGTTGTCTTTATTCACCAGCTTCTTGTTCGGATTTTCCCATTCCACCTTAAATGCAGCAACTTGAGGTGCCAGAATTTATCTGCTGCACCATTTAATGTGGAACAGGAAAATTCAAACAAGAAGCTGGTGAAAAAGAAGCTGACTTCACCTTCATAGTTGTAATGTTGACAAGGTGATTTAGGCTATCAAAAAATCCTACCTAGAGTTTTATACACAGAGCTACCTGTAAATATGGCAGCATATTCCAGACTTTATTCAAATTCAGATCACAAAAATACTAATTCAGTTGTGTTTTTACAATTGCATTTCCTTTAGAAGAAGTGAAAGTCTAAACTTCAGCGGTTCTTGAGTGAGAATGCTTGTTTACAATACAGAGCTAGCTTTAGCAACTGCTGCTAGTTCTGTCCAAATTGGTTTTTGTGTGGAAGTGATTCTTGACCGACTAAGAGAGCTTGTGACTGTTATGAGCACCCGTGTTAATGATACTGTGAACAGAGGCTCCAGGACCAGGAACACTGGTCCTGGATTAACACTGTAATTACATACATTCAAAAGTTACTAAAGTTACTAAAAAAAAACACTACCACCAGAATTCAACTGAGGCTAAAGCTACCAATATGAGAGCTGTAGTGTTGTGTAGAGAGCACATTATTCAGACTCTTATCACAGTTTGACACATGTTCACATTGTCAGTATAAGAGGTGCTGGTTGCACTTGATTAAGTACAACTTGTTTTGGAGCAAATTGGTCAACTGTTCTAAAGTTATTGGAATTAATTTTCATATACCTGTAACAGGAGTTTAACAGAAGTTATTGAAATTAGTTCACAAAAACTTATCAGCACAGTCCAGTAAAGGTTAACGTTACCAGTACAAGAGGCGCATCTTGTAGGTTGCACTTAATTAAGTTCATCTTGTTTTGGAGCAACATAAAGGAAAACCGAACTGAACTAGAAACTAAACCTACAAGAAACTCATAGTGATATCTCATATCAGACTTGGTATCAGCGAGTACTAAAAATGTGTACTCGTACTCTGAAAAAAATGGTATCGATGCATCCCTGGTTACGTGATCAGATGTTTTTGACAACTATTTAAATTTTTTTAAATTGCTTAAAGCTATCATTTCTTTGACATTCAAAAAAATACATTAAAGACATTGCAACCTACATTTAATGACTAAAGTTAACAGTGTTAAAACCTGCAGAACAAAACAATTATAAACAATCTTTAGAGAAACTCATGTCAACCAGTGATAACACCACTGACTAAAATGGAACACAGACTAGTATTATTTCAATATTATCTAAGCATAATTTTGAAGCTCCCTTTTTATGTATTAAAATAAGGAAAGTTTGGTAAATATAGGAGCATGCACTTAAAACTTTGTTTACAGTGAATTATACATTAACCACTTTAATATGAGAGCTCCTTATTTCAGGTTGTTAATGACTGCTGCCTTCTAGTGTAGAAAACATACAGTTAGAATTGAGCATCTGACTGACTCCTCCTTTTTTAAAGCTTCTCCTCCTCTACACCTCCTCTATCTGCTGGAGGGAGTAAATTTCATATTGTCACTCTGATCTTTCTTCATTCTACATTCACTTCACTCAGAGGCACCAATGAGGAGCTTTTAAACAGTGACTGTTTGTGTTTGTTTCTTGATGTGTGATTCTGAAAGGAGCTAAATCTCACTCAGTGGGTTGAAGGGCTACGTGAAAAACTGTGCTGCTCTGATCATTACAGACGTCCTAAAAGAGAAAGTGGAGTTTGGACTAAAGGAGCCATTACAGAGGAACAGCACAGCAGCAGTTGGAGGAAATGGCTGCTAGAAACCCTCTTTCAGAAGAAGACTTTTCCTGTCCTGTGTGCTGTGACATCTTCAGGGATCCTGTTGTTCTGTCATGTAGCCACAGTGTGTGTAAAACCTGCCTGCAGAAGTTCTGGGAAACTAAGGGGTCTCGAGAATGTCCAGTTTGTAGGAGAATATCCTCTAAAGACCAACCTCTCAATAATCTTGCACTGAAGAACCTTTGTGAGTCTCTTCTAGAGAGCAGGAGTCAGAGATCTTCAGCAGGGTCTGAGGAGCTCTGCATTCTGCACAATGAGAAACTCAAACTCTTCTGTCTGGATGATCAGCAGCCTGTGTGTGTGGAGTGTCAGACTTCAAAGAAAGACAAAAATCATGAGTTCTGTCCAACAGATGAAGCTGTGACTGACCTTAAGGTAGGAAATCTGTTGTATTATGTTGATATCTAAAATATGATTGAAGTGAAATGTATAAAATCTTTATCAGTTAACCTCATACGTATGTTGAAGGTTAATCATATCAGTATATGTGGTTTCAGGGCAGAAATTACTGATGATTTACAAGCCTAGAATAATTAAGCCATAAACAGGAGTCGTTACAAGTGTTACAGAAATCTGTTGTTGAATTAACTGAGCTGTAAAGCTTCTCAGCAATTGCACCTTCTGAAACCACATTAATATGTTGAGTTCAAATATTTCAAATTGAAGAGAATGCATTTAGCTAAACTGTTTTTTTAATTTTAGAACAAAATCAAGTCTGCTTTGGAGCCTCTACGGAAGAACCTGAAAGTCTTAGAGGAA